AAATAACTTTTACAGTACCAAAGTAGACTTCAGAACTGATTATTCTACGTCTAAACCAGTAAATTGTTATAAAAAGAACAAGACTTTAATAGTGATTTTAAAAATAATTAAATTAGTGAAGCGTGTCACCCGTTTCAAATCAAATTAAATGTTCTTAAATATTTAAATTTTTTGTACGCGGGTGTCGTCGACCTTACGGAATTCGACTACGTCACTTCCGAAACATTCGATTGACTGGTAAAATACGTAATTTCGATCACATAAAATACGTCTACGTATTTTATGTGATCGAAAGTTTTTTAATTTCACGCGCAGTAAATTTTTGGTTGTGCCAGGCTCTAAACGACGCGGATTGCCAGGCCCCTTTTGTATAAGTTTCATATAACTTTGCACAATAAGCTCTTTATACAAGGTTTCGGAGTGTGTAGTTCGAGATCGAGTATCGAAGGCCCTAGGCATAAGCTTGGTTATCTAGGCCTTCAACTGCCACAGTGTACACTCCGAAAGGCGTTAAATGGGTATTTTATTGTTATAACCCAGAAAAAAGTTAAACAAGGATAACTTGTTCGACTAGTGTTTAATATAAAAACGATACCGTAAAGAGTTTAATACTTATTATAAAAGGCCCGCATTCAACATAAAGGCCCGAAAATAAGGGACGAAACTAAATTTTTATTTTATTTCGAGTCACAACGCAGCAGTTGTTGCGAGACTCTCGGATAAACGCCCTATACGTGTATCGGGAAGCCTTGCGGTATCCCAAACAGTTCGTTGCCACTACCCTGGCAGGGAGAGATTAAAAAATCACTGCTAAAGCGTTAAAAAATTTACAGTAAGCTTTCAGTTAATCAATACACGAAATTATTAAATTAACTGCGATTTTACCGTGTCACGCGGTTCTACAACAATACTCAAGTCATGCCCTTTCCGAGAAAATGATACCATTGTTCAGATGCCCGCTACATTATTATAAAGGAATGTCTTCCGAATCATAAATTTATAATAACAACTTTATTATAATTTAAATATAACATTTAACTTTGAATTAAGTAGGTTTAACAGTAATTTAAATTCGGACTTTGGCATTCGTTCTTGATAATTCGAAACGGAAACGTTTTTCTTCACGTTTCTGCATACCGAAAAACTGCCGATTTGTCGAAGTTAACGCATTTCTCCGGCTTGTTGGCCACCTCCTCCTCCTCCTCCACCTCCTCCTCCTCCTCCTCCGCCTCCACTTCCTCCACGTTTCTTGCCGCGACCCGATCCTCCTCCTTTCCATTTCTTAGCGTGACGTTTGGCAATGACGTGGAAGAGAGGAGCTTCGTCATCGTCTTCCTCGTCTACTATTGAGGGAAAAAAGTTGCCGTTATTCCATACCTCGCGGCAGTATTTTGGCATTTAATCTTTACAAATAAAAAACGAGTAAACATCTCTTACCTTTGCTGGCCAGACAGACTAGAGCCAGGAGGCACCAGATTAACAGCAACAATATTCGGCTCTTCATTTTGTTCGAGGGTCGACTTTCTCCTCTCGCCTTATATAAGTGGCATTGCGCACGGCACCTCCACCCGCCGTCGAAAATTGGGTCGTAAAACTGAAAATTACGAATTTCGTTCCGTAAGAACGGCCTTTGGCACCGCCATTTTCCGAGAAATTCGTTCGCGCCTTCCGGAAGGACACCCTTTTTTTTTGGTTTTTTTACTGACGTTCCGCCCGAATTAACCTGGCTTTTTTTTATTTCCGATCGAAAATTGCGACCCGAACGATTTCGAAACGCCACAGAACGAAAGTAACCGCTTTATTTTGTAATTTCCTGGAGGAAGGAAGTAATTTCGGGGTAACATCAAAATTAACAATCGGGAGAATGTGATGCCAAAGAAATTTTATTTAATCTTATTCATTGGGTGTGAGGGACGTCATTGGAAAGAGGGATCTTCGGAGTCGCTTCTGTTCCATCCTCGTCTGGACAAATTTCTGTCGTAAGAGCGTCGAGAATCGTTGGTTCGGTTGCTACGATCGCAGGGATTTCCCGATCTATCTGCCATCCCTGAAATGGAGGAAAAAGAAAAGCGATTAATTAACCGACGGAAGTACGTCACCAAGATTTCTAATCGAGCTTACTGTCTCGCGAATTCTCATTTCCGGCAACTAGCAGGAAGAAAGCGACGGCCACTACTATCAACCGCAGCTTCATGATTGCCAGTAGTCGTTCCGTAGAAGGATTTATATATCGTCCGGTGCCATTAAGCCGTCAACGATGGTCGTTAGCCAGACAAACGAACGGATGATTAATGAGATCCTTAACAGCGTGAGCTTTCTTTTGGCGATTGTCATTTTCCGCGAAAAACTAATCGTCTTCCGTTTCGTATTTATCATCAGTTTCCGGTCATTTTACGTCAAATTACGTTTTAAACAATGAATCTACCGAGAAGACGACTCGAACGACCTCGTTTCCTCGACAAACACGAGAGGTGAAGAGCGCGTTACGCATTCTAAAATCGTTTCTTGTGTAACAGAATTGTTACTTTTTCCCACTCTTAACTATTGGAAGGTCGATTATATCTCCTATTAGCTATTACAACCGTCGATTATTTTTTATACGCCTCCAGAGGTAATAAAGAGGCCATGAAATTGTCGTAAAAATGGAGGACTTTCTGACAAATATCCCGATCCTTTTTGAACTTATATTTAAAAAAAAAAAAATGTTGAAAATACCAACCACGGCGTGACCTTTATCCATCTCATTGTCGTCCGATTCAATAGTTTCTCCCTTCTTTTCATATTTAACACCCCCAGTGAGTTCGAATCTTTAGAAAAAACACGAAGTGAAGTAACTGGAACGTGTTTTTTATTTTACGAAAATTCGAAACGAATCATGTGTAACGTTTGACTTTATTCGTAAACAAAATACTAAAATGTTACGTTTGTTTACGAATTAACTAGTATTATTCGAAACGTAACGATTGAAAAATATAACTTTTGTTTCCCGATACTTCTTAACCTTTTATACCAATGAGATCTTTTCGGGATTCAAAGGATCCGCATTTTTTATTTTGATATTAATTAATTAATCATCAGGAGGGGCTGACCCGCAACGGGGTTAAACTGAACGGGCGCACATCGAGTAAAATGAGCGTAGTTACGAGTGGATTGCTGAGTTACGATATGATACAATTGAAAAATTTTATATTGTATATGTTAGTAAACATTTAATATCGAGTACTTTAACGATGTTTATCTTGAAAAATTACCGAACGAATACGATTTTTATAAATTTTCCTCCCAGTGGGCACTAAGAGGGTCTCATTTAGCAAGCGCATTATGGGTTCGGCAAAGTCCACAATGGGCGGACGGTGGTGAGGAACAGATACTTCCGGGATTTGTCGAGCCGTTCGGATTCTATTCCGGATCTCCAGAGAGGTAGGCTGACACGTTAACCGCTCGACCATTCGGCCGTGTAAACGAATAAGCTAATGAGACATTTGACACGATTTTTTATATTGTGTAGCATACGATTTACCCTTTCTATAAATAAATGAAAAAGTGTTAAGAGAACGTAATTATGCAATAAATAACGTAAACCAGAAGTCATTTTCTTTCTATTTTTGCCGTTAATTCGATATTTAATCCTTGGTCTACTTCGCCATTTCGGTAGATTGCCGATAATGTACTGTACGTTAATGGTATCTGAAGGCCGATTCTGTGGGTGCGTTTACTTCTGAGTTAGCAGTGCTAATTCTGATAACCGGATGTGACGTCATTAGCACGTGTATTCGTGCTTGCTTGTCCAATTCGAAAGTGAACACATACGCTAACAAGAAATATGGCTGGAAACCGCCATATTTCTTGTTAGCGTATGTGTTTACTTTCGAATTGGACAAGCAAGCACGAATACACGTGCTAATGACGTCACATCCGGTTATCAGAATTAGCACTGCTAACTCAGAAGTAAACGCACCCTGTGTGTCGAATAGCTGAATAAGCTGATCAATGACGTCATTGGTCTGCTTACTCAGCTACTCGACACCTATAATCGTCCCGAGCCAATCACAATCAATTTACACGTTCTTTCACGACGTACTGTATTAGAATTTCCATAACACCGGATGAGAAATTCAGAATCTTTGACGAGTGAATTTTTAGAAAAATTATCGTTTGTCGAAATAAAAATTTTAATCAAATTTCTGCCCTCATATTTTGTTTTAATTTAAAAAATAGCCAGTGTTTAAACGGTGTATTATTGAATTTTTCTTACTTATTACAGATTTCTAATCAAATACAGTCATAAAATTATATCTATTTTCCTAAAACATGTCCTTTTTCCTCATTTTTGACTCTTTCCACCCTGTGGGTACTAAGAGGTATTTTTTTTCCTTCGTTTCGATCGTGGATCGACTAGACCCACAATGGAATTTGGTTTTGTTTGATAGACTAAGGCAAGGCAACACGAGGACGATCAGCCAAGGGGGGGGTGCCTCTAGAGATGATTGGCATCTATTTAGTTATGAAGAAACCAGAAAACTCCACGCAGCCAGCCCATTGAACGCCCCGAATTCGGGACCGAGTAACAGCATTTGGTGATATCCACTCGGCCACTGGTGGGTACATCCACCATTGTGGGTCAGCTACCGCCAGGGCCACAATGGTGGCGGGGGGGTCTTTTTATTTTTGATTTTAACTCTTTCCGCCCTGTGGGAACTAAGAACGCTTTTCAGCAAGTCCATTGTGAGTTCGACCAGGCTCATAATGGGGCAGAAAGGTAGCGAGGAACGGTAGGAGGCCTCGATATATCGGGAACAGACCTTACACGAATTCCTGGGTTTTTCGACCGGCCGAATTCGCTCCCAGGACCCCAAATTTGAATGTTTACTTGCTTATTGTTCTATTTACCTGATTATTTCGGTTTCTAGCATTAGTTTAGTTTTGGAAAACGCCGAAGTTTTTAATTGACGTCGCGGATAATTAAATACATTGAAGTACATAAAGAAAGAAAATAAACATTTAACAAATCTAAAAATTTATTGGGACCACCGATGATTAATGACGAATGATGATTTCTCGTTAAATAATTTAAGTATAAAGAGGTGCAGAGGTGACGTCCATAGATTAAGAGAAAATGCATTCATCATCCCATCTTATGCCAAAAATATTATAACGGAGTCGATTCTCGTTTTCAATTGGGGAAGACCACAGACGATAAACTTTGAATTGGGAAGTGAAAACCCGATCCTTAGATCCTTTCGTATCGTTCGAAGATCGGGATTATACGAGAATCTAGTCCTTTCAAACAAAACCGACGTATCGATTACAATTCCGTGTGATATTCTTCCTCTTCTAAATTCTCTTCTTCTTCCCCTTCCACGCAAAACTCTAGAAAATAATAAAAAAATCCAGATAAATATTTTTGTTTTACTTAGATCCAGTGTAGTTATGTTATCAAGATATTGGGAGCTAATTTTAAAAATTCTTTCTGCCTTGTGAGCCCTAAGTGGGCCTTTTTAGCAAGTCCATAATGGGTTCGGTCAGATGATGAGGACGAAGCATCTCCCGAAAAATTCCTGAGGTTTTTCGACCGTCCAGATTCGATTCCGGGTTCCTGGAATAGTAGGCTGCCACCTTAACTGCTTGACCATCTGGCCCGATTTTGGATGTTTGTGTGTGGCGAGCAGTAAGCAAACTGATGACGTAGTTTGTCTCATATAAAATGCACTATGCCATGTACATTAGTTGATTTTATTCGCATAAGGCAATGCAACACATGGGCTATCTGACAAAGCTTATATGTCTAATGGTTATTTGGTACAACTTGATGGCATTAGTACAAAGGCATTCTGTTATATTCATGGTAAATGAAACTTAGTTTTGTATAAATCTGGATAAGTTTGATATTTAAATCATTAATGAATCTAACTTATTTGAAAAACTTTGGATAAGACAGAAATTAGTGGGTTAATCCCATTTGGCCACCGGTGGGCATAGAAAAAAACCCAATACACACTAAAATGATAAAGATGAATTTTAACATAAAAAAAGTGTATTTCAGTTCTTTAATTAATGAATCATGTGGATTGTATAATCAAAGATTTAAAATAAATTTCATATTAAAAATGGTCCAAAAATCAATTAACCAATGGAAGCATTTGAATCACAAATAGCAAAACACAGCTGGTACAAACCAGTTTTCACCATTATTAAAAACATATGTTGGTTAACTGATTTTTAGGATATTCTGTATTTTAATATTATTTTTAACTATTCGAAAATAGTGTTTTTATTACTCACGAGAACTCTCTAAGCAAACTTTCTGAATGGCTTCCTCTATATCCACTTTTGGAGACTTGAATACTTTGATGATGTCATCTTCGAAATCTTCAATAATTGATTCACACTGGAAATAAATTATGTCAAAAAAGTAACAAAAAAATTAAATATCAATACAAAAATTCATAACATTTCTGTTTCCATTAGAATGATAAAATATAAATTTAAGAGCAGATTACACACGGTCTTCCAAAAAGAATGCTACCATTTTAAATTATGTTATTGCAATCATGTTAATTATTATCTAAGAAGTATGCAACATACACCAATTGGCAGAGTAACCGTTTAAGTTTTGTCTCCCATCTGCATTCAAATGTTTCATTGTCTACTACCTGTAGGAAGTGTCATAAACAAAAACAAGTACAGCAACTCTGCAACAGAAAAGGAATTTCATGTTCTACAGTTTGCCCGATAAATAATTATGATAATCTAATGATGTTACTAGAANGAATGGCCAATTTTCTAGTCTCTTTATGTCGAGCTTGAGCGTAATCATTCATTTTGTCGCAGATAGTCTCGAACATTTCTTGCAGATGAACCTCGGAACACCAATTGGAAGAGTAACTGTTTAAGTTTTGTCTCCCATCTGCATTCAAATGTTTCATTGTCTACTACCTGTAGGAAGTGTCATAAACAAAAACAAGTACAGCAACTCTGCAACAGAAAAGGCATTTCATGTTCTACAGTTTGCCCGATAAATAATTATGATAATCTAATGATGTTACTAGAATCCTATCGGTTTAAGAGGTGTAAAAAGATTATGATATCAAAATTTAAACAAAGCTGGTATGATAATAAATGTCACTATTACAAAATTAAAAAACAGAAGAATCTGCAACAATTTAGAAAAAAAAACTCAGAACAATCACTGGAAAAATATTTAGAAAACAAGAGAATTTACAGAAACTATATAAAAGCGATAAAGAAAAAATAAATATTTCTCCGAAGTAAGTGATTTGCTAATAAAATTAAAAGATACAAAATCATTCTGGAACACCATAAATGGATTTCGTAGACCTTTTTTAAAAAATAGCGAAAAATTTATGGTTCCATTTAACAGTTGATATCAATATCACAAGTGTAGTGAGGGGGCAAGGGGGTCTATCATGCCCCGGGCGCCACTCACAGAGGGGTGCCAAATGGTCTCCAAGACAAACAAGATTTGTTTCTGGAGGGGAAGGGGTGCCAGTTATGTTCGTTATGCCACTGATCAATATTTTAAGAAATTTTCAGACAATTATTTATGTAAAAACAGAATGAATATTTTTGATAATATCCTATCTATGAATAAACCATATGAAGAGATATTCAATGTAGACAATTTATATTCTAATTGTAAAAAAATTAAAAGAAAAGACAGCTCCAGGCTACGATGCCATTCCTAATTTTATAATAAGAAATTTACTGCTGAATATCATTAATTATTTAGCTAGACAATTCAATGACCTATATAATTTAGGTAAGATTCCAAATGAGTGGAATAAAGTTATTCTGTATATGCTATTCAAAAAAGGAGAGAGAAAACAGCCAAATAATTATCTACCAATAGCATTACTATCAGGTTTTCGCAAATTGTTTACTTCGGTTTTATTGACAAGGTCTAATGATTGGACTGAAAAGAATATTACAAAGAAATATGATTAAATACCAAGCAGAAGATAACCTTATAAAAATAATAGGATTATTATTTGTCCACTACAAAGTAGTGATCAAACAAGATAATGTTCAATGGCAGGCTTTTGATATCGACTGTGGCTTATTACAAGGAGATCCCTGCTCACCACATTTGTTTAATTTCTATACATTCAATTTTAATGTATAGAACTGTTTTAACAGAAAAGATGATTTAAATTTGAGAAACAAGTAATACATTCAATATCTTATGCAGATGATATAGTGATTATTGTCCCAACAGCTGCTGCCTTACGTAGAAATATACATGCTTTGAATGAGTACTGTGAAAAATTAAAATTAAAAATCAATCCTAGCAAATCGTTTGTAATGATATTTCAAAACGGATCCAGACTTCCTAAGAAACACATGTCTTTTTACCTCAATAACAAAGAATTACAAATAGTTCGAGAGATTAAGTTTTTGGGAATAATTTTAACACCTACATTGTTGTTTGAAAAACAATACAAAAAGACCACGATCAAAGCCAACACATTGATTAATAACATGGTGAAATTATTTACTAAGATTAAATTGAAGAATATTATAGTTCATTTTAAATTATTCAACTCTATAATTATGAATGCTATAGGATACGCTTCACCGATCTGGAGTGTAACAAACTATCAAAAGCTAGATATAATTCAAAATAAATTTATTCACAAAATCTTCTCGTTAGAATTCAATATTCCCAGAAGTGCACTTAGAAGGGAATTAAATAGATTTTAAACTAAGCCCATTCTTTATAAAAAGACTCATTAAATTTTTTTCTATGATAAGAGACTGTAGAAAATTATAAGCTATATTATTGGGACTATTATATCAAAAAATAAGTACTGAAGCTCAGAGAAAAAACTGGGTAGGCCAAATATAAAATATTTTTATAGTTATGGTTTTTCTATAGGGCCATTTATGGAGAAAACCAAGATGAGTGAACTACTCAGTTCCCAACTGATACAAAATGCTTTTAAAATTTCCGTCTCAAGATATCAGTGATCTTCATAACCGAAAAAATCCCGAGTGGTACAATACAATCTTAGAATACTCATATATTAATGGTTATATGCTCATGAATTTACCCTTTAACATAAAAAAAACTCTTCATTTGACTAAGATTAAACAAAGAGATAATAATAATCAATAATAATATTTATAAAGTTTCTGATTGTTGCTGCCATAGATGCAGGGATACATTTTCCAAAATTCACATGTTTTTTCTATGTAAGGAGGCCCAGGAGTTACGAGATAGATACAACCTCCGAGCATTAGATAATGTTACCAATGAAAATACTATGTATTGATATTTATTTTTCCACACAGCAAAAATTGTTACTACTGTAATTTGTATTGGAAATAATATGATATATGATAAAACCACCTNTTAATTTCTTATATAGTATATTACTACAGTACAGTTTAATCATAAAACAATATATTCTATCTAAATCTTCAGAAGCATTTATTCAAGCTTTATCAAAAAACATTTTGGAAATTAAAAGTATAAAAATGTGATTTACCAAAGATACGTTTTCTTTTTGATTACACATCTTTCATAAAATATTGTCATCTTTTTTTTTTAGCATTATCACCAACAAACTGAATTCTACTGTAGATTTTTTATTAGAAAATTTATCAAGACAAGACTGAAGTGTAAAAACAATTATATTTTCTGGCTATCAATTTGCATATAAAATGTATATTTATATTTAATAAACATCTTGTCTACCAGACCTAGCCAGCTTATAGAGGAGTGTGATTTACTTTTATGAATCAAAAGCACCAATGATCAGCCATATTCTTATTCATTTGTGAAAGTTTACTAATCCAATCTTATTATACTGTGTGAGCTATTATGTATGTTTGATTTTATTGAAGTTTAAATAAATGAAACATTCTCCTTGTGGTGTGTTAACGGAACAAGGATGACTCTGATCCCCGTAAGGGGAAATCATGACCATTAAATGAAAAAAAAATCTATTCTTATAAAACTATGCTGTAGAATATAGTTATATTTATTATTGCAAAGTAATGCTGTCCCAGGTTACTTTTTCTTTGTATAAGCATTATAAATTAAACAGCATCATTTATCTCTCATAAGAAAATAAGTATTTTATTTTCATTCGTCACAGAAATTATAAATTTTTCTCCTCTTTGGTCACAAAACTGAAATTGTTTGGCAACAAAGTAATTTCTAAAATAACAACCTAACCTAACAATGACCATTGATAAAAAGCATGTTCCACTTCATTATGTTCCTTGTTCAGTATTTGCACATACTCTTTTCATTGTGCTGCAATAACAAAAAAAACCATATTTTTTCCTCAAAGTACTGTACACTGCTATCATTCTAACTATCTGTAGCAATAGTTAGAATGATGTCTTGGCACAAATGCAGTTCTGAATGAGGTGGTTGAGACCTTATCAGAGCTGTAGACTTTGCCTACAGGAGGAAAAAGTCAAAGGAACTAATGGTCTACAAGTGATCTTTCGTGAGATATAACCCTTCAAAATTGGCCTATCCAGAACTTTAAAAAACAAACTGAAATTACATAGATACAAATGAATTTTACATTTCTTATGAAATTTAATTATTATATTAATAAATGTAATCTATATAATGTATAGATAATAAATCTAAAAGAATTCACAGAAATTCTCATTAGGATAATCTCCTTGTAAAAGTTTTCTGCTTTAATTCTAGCAAATGACTTTATTCAGGATATCTTCACTTTCAATTTTACTCATTTCTGAGGGTCTTCGATACTGCCCAATAGGCAGATTTCAGAGGGATATATCCTGCAAAGGGTCACATATAGACAATTGATTCTCCAATTATTTTAATCCTACAATGCTGCTATATACCAACCGTCAGAACTGTATTTGTATCAGTTTCTTTACAAAAATATGAAATTAATATTTCCATGGAGATTACATATTTTCTGCACGTAAATGGACTATATTGCAATTAAAGCTTTTTAAAATATAAATTATATTTTACTTCTACATCCCTTTGACTTTACTCGATTTATGTAATTTTTGTCAAATTAGAACCTACCGTACTCTGCTTTTGCGAGCCGTCGGGTTCGATCCTAAAGCTTCCCACCTGTATAGTTTTATGGGGATTTTCATTTTGAATCTCTTTGGCTATATCTTTTATAACTTGCTGACAGACTAATAAAGAAAAGAATGTATATATATATAAAGTTAGAGCAGGAAAAAACAAATGATTATATACATTTTATGTGATCAAATACAAAAAGGAAAATAATTAGAGTTTATACCTAAGCATTTTTTTTCTTTCGAAGCTAAAACTAAGTCAAATGTAATTAAAAACAACAGGAGGAACGTGATGCAACTACTTCCTAATTTCTCCATTGTAACTGCAATATACATATAATTTGTATATAATAGCATTTAGATTTGATAAATGTGGAAATTTTTATACGAAAAGCAAACAAATACTCACAAATGGATCGAGATAAATCGTTAATTTTTCTCTCACCTGAGCAAATGATTTTCAAAACTGTCACATCAACATACACACGTGCTTTTTCTCCATTGGTCGAACACGTATGACGTCACACTTCTTTCGTCGATTTCAAATGCCACGTATAGCTATCACAGAAGCTTGTGTTCGCTAGTTGCGTAAGACTGATTTTTAGAATTTCGAAAAGTTTATATTTTATTAAATTTCATACATCATCTCAAAATAATTTATTAAAATATAAAATATTAAGATGTAATTTTATCTAACATCCGAGAATTATAGACGGCGCTGTCTGGTTAAGTTACTATTTAGGGAAAAAAATCTGTTAAGATTAAATTTTATGCCGTATATTTCCCACAGAAAATGTTATTTTTTTGTAAAATCGATGTAGTTAGTCATTAATATTAACTAATAATTTGAGATTGATTTGGAAAAAAAAAGTTTAAATTTTATTCCGGAGATGGCAACATTGTTCCGTAAACAAATTTTGCGGGAAATTCGTGCATTGTCTGCTCGATCCGATCGAAGTGGAAAGATGTGTACCGTTCTTAAATTCGTTAAACTTACCAAAAATGCTTACGCTCCAACCAAAGGATCAAAATTAGCTGCCGGATACGATTTATATAGGTATATAATTTGAATTATTTTAAGAGTATTTAAGAAGTAGTTCTAATTCCTGAATGGCATTGAGAACTGTGAGCGTAAATTTCTAATTTGTTCGAGTTCTTCGATATAAATTTTTCCTCGTTAAAGTTAAAAGTACATTCAATGACTTCTGTTTTCTATACTCAATGCATTTAGGAATTGCTGAGTAGAATATAAATGTATCCTTTGTGTGTGGTTTGAATGGCAGTGTATTCAGTATCTGTTGTTAATCAGAGCTTTCGATTGTTCGCTTTTTAGGCGGACAATTAGCTTTTTGAGGATGTTATATGCGTGTTTGCTTTTTCGCTCGATGCTTCCAATTATCAATCTTTAAAAACGTCAAACAACTTATTCTGGATTCTAATAAATGTGAGCGAATGCACAAAAGAGGAATCGATGAGAGAGTATTAATTTTTAGAATTTCGCCCATTCTTGGACAGATAAGGAAGGAAAAGAAAAGCATTGTTTCTGGTATATAACGGATGATTTGTTTCCAAATGTTTTTATGAGTGTGGATTTGTCGACAAAAGGGGGGAAAATCATTTAATCCCATGTTGGGGATGACAAAGGGTTGTTTTTTATTTTTTCGTGTGTGGGTGTGGGTGGTGGTGATGTAGACTATGATTATTTGGCACCTTTACAAAAAACTGTTTATTAAAAACAAAGGGTTTTTGTTTTTTTACATGGGTGGAAGTCTACTTTGTTATTTTAAGAGGTGAGATTCGTCGTGTGTGGGTTTTGGCCAGTCGTCGTCGTGCCGATCAAAGGGTTCGTGAGTAGTGGCGGGTGGAGTCCTGCTGGGTAGTTTGGCACTAGCTGCCGATAAAGCATGATAAAAAAGGGAGTTCCATCTTTCGGGTTGATGCCGTATGGAATTGACACTCTTACGGACTGTTCGTTGACACTTACAGAAAGGAGCTCTTTGCAGAGAGAGAGACCACTGAGTTTTTGAACATCAGGGTTTAAATAAAGTTTTGCCATTCATTGCCTGATCCGATTGGTTGCTCTCTCTTGTCGTCGCTTTTTAAGTGGTCGCTTGCTTGTTACTAACGTGGCAAGAACCTAACCTGGACTGCGAGAGAGGTCAATATTCTTTTCTTTCTTTCTTACAAAAAAAATATAATTTTAATGCAAATTTTAGTGAAGGTTCAGACTTGTCCAGAACCTCACACAAGCTTGAAACCTGCAAAATTTTCACTATGAATTATACAAAATGATAGTTGCTTGCCATTAACTTTCTTATATGGAAATCATATTTTCTGCAACATTTTTTCTTTTACTTTTAATTGTTGGATAATTTTTTCATATATTAGAATGAAATTGTATGTGTTTACAGTATACTGTGTTTATGTTAATAAACACTGTATATCATAAACATATACAAATCCACTATTCCTGTTGTTTTTGTTGATTAAAACTTTCTGTTCAACCCAAAATAACCTTTACTTATTAACCATGACATCGTGTTTGTTCATTGTGATTGACAATCATTCGAGTGTTGTCTCTATTTTTAAAGTTCTTCTAAGCAGAATAATAATGTTTACAAAAAAATGTAGGTGCAACCAAATAAGAATAATCTGTAATCACACTTGTGGTTTCAACCTTATATTTGGGAATTGCTATTCTACTCTACTGTGTTAGTATAACCAAGTCCAAAATAACCAATAGTTAAAACAAGTATAAAATGTATATAATTAGTATATTTATTATTTCTATTCTATATTGATATATAAATAAAGGAGTCAGAGTGGATGCATTTGTGAACTGACTCCACAGCCCTGGTACAGGGTATCTGAAAAGTTACTGTGCAATGAGAAATTTATGACATTAAAGTTATACATATGGCATTGCATACAAGACCTGTAAGTCATATGTCTCATTCTTCCACTTTGTGGTAGATGGCATTACAACTTGCTCACAGATCTTCCAGTTTTTGGAAGAGTTCTTTGCCAATTGTGTAATCTGTCAATGAATCTGACTCATTAAGTCTCCAGACTTCACTCCCCCTGGATTTTGGGGGCTCTGGGGAACATTTCCATCATTTGTCATAGGAGAAACTGCACTATTGTATGTGAAACTTCACTTCTATTAAAACTTAAACCTTTTCCATTGCACAGTAACTTTTTGGATACCCTGTATTATTCAATATTGTCATCATCATCTAGGGCAATGTGAATATAGTACCATAAGAATGGGAAAAAGTGTTATAAATCTTAAAACTGCATGTTTTCATTACTTGTTATTTTAAGATTGATAATTATGTTCTTTATATACATTTATCATTTTCAAGATAGAAAAGTTAGTTTGTGGTTACTGTAAGATAGAATTAGTTTATATAAAATAAAGAAATATTTAATTTGTGGAAAATTCTGATATTTTAACTGACCTTATTGAAATGGAATTAGAAGTTAGTTGTTAACCTTTTTTAAAAAATTGCAATTTTGAATAAGTTACTTTAAAATATTTAATAATGATCTATAATTTTAGTGCTTACGAATACATAATACCATCCATGGGAAAAGAATTAGTAAAAACAGACATTCAAGTGGCTATACCCGAAGGATGTTACGGTAGAGTTGGTTAGTAAAATCTTTATGCATTGTCTTACAAAAAAATTAAAATAAATTTTGTTTAAAATTCATATTTTTGATTATTTTTAAATTTCAGCTCCTAGATCTGGTTTAGCCAGCAAACATTTTATTGACGTTGGAGGTAATTTTACTTGCATAGTAATTATTGTTTTAAAGCAACTAGTATATTTACATTCAGCTAATATATAAATTATATCTGTAATAAATGAAATTGTTATAAAAGTAATTTTATTATTAAAAGTAATAATTACAAAAAAATTTATTGAATTTTTAGTAATTATTATAGATAGAATTATTTATATTTACTTTTAGTTTTTCTGTTTGTAATTAAAAGTAATTGAGTGTTTCTTGGAATTGGAAATTGATATTTTTTTAACATAAATTTCATTAAATAAAGCATTATAATAATTGGATCTAAGAGTAAAAATTATTTGTTGCAGCTGGAGTGATTGACCAAGATTACAGAGGAAATCTTGGAGTTATTCTTTTTAATTTTGGACCTACAGAATTTAAAGGTACATTTTGCATATTCTGTAAATAGTTGTATCCAGCAAGATATTTGCTGGATTGTTGCTAAATTACAAATAGAGAAATTGATTAATACAGAATTTCTTCATATACATTTTTTGTGTAAATACTACTTGCATATATCATATTCTGTGACTTATAAATGACTTGTATAATAAAACAAATCCTTTGTCTGTATGTGTGGAGACTTTTGAATTAGTCAGTAGTCAGATGCAATGTTTTATTCTAAATGAATTAAATTTCTATTTTTATAATAAATTAACTTAATTATTTTTTAAAATATTTTTAGTATGCAAAGGTGATCGAATTGCACAGCTGATTTGTGAACGTATATGTTATGCAGATATTGAAGAAGTTGAGGTAAAATAATAGTAATTTTAAAATATAAAATATCTAAATCATAATATAATAATTAATATAATGCTGAAATGAATACAATTGTATTAAAAAATTTTTCATTTACTTTATTCCAGTTGCATGCCAAAATATGTTGTTTGTGAACGATATTCATTAATGACTAATCACACCAAATTTTATTTAGTGTCATTATTGTGTTGAAATTGGTTTTTTTATTATCACACTTTTTTCTTTCTTGGCACTTCAAGGATCATGTCTGCACTACAAAAGTGTCGGACACTAGAGTCCTGCATACAAGAATTGCATGTGCCATTAACAGCATGCATCCTTAACATACTTGCCACATGTGGAAATGTACTGATTAAATATAAGTAACTTTTTCAGATGCATTTTCTATTGCCACTATACTTACATTTCTTCCCAAAATTAATCCACAAAAATAGGGATATTTGAGAGAACACCTTGTATATAGGTGTATTGCCACAAAAATAGGGAACACCTTGTATATTTAAATATATTTTAAAGCAATAATTTGAAGTAATTTACAATAAAATTAACATTCTTATTTTTGTTTTAGGATTTAGGTACTACAGAAAGAGGACAGAATGGATTTGGCTCTACTGGAAAGAATTGAATTAGCATTCAAATTCTTATTATTTTAATGTTATTGAGTTCTGTGTTCATCCATTTACTGTACATATTTTAGGCCATCTTTTAAGTTATGCAGATAAAATTAATATAATAATAAATTTAAAGACAGTGATTGTTTTTGAAGCTACATATTTTGAAATTTTATGCCCATTATTTTATTGTTTGATAATTTAAGGAGAGAATTTTATAAATGTCTAATTCCTACAAATGATAGTAAATGTGAATAAAAGTAATTTTGTTTAATCTGTTTCTGCAAATCATTTCTTCTCTCGTGTTTTAAAGTGTTGCCACATTGTTTTCTCAGGCCAAGACTGATTAAAATATATAAATAAAAGATAAAATAAGTAGACAAATTGTTATGAGTATTGTGTTGATGTTCATTCAGTTTTATTTATTTCACTATTATACAGTGGTACCTCAGGATACGAAATTAATTCGTTCCGAAACTGAGATCGTATCATGAAAATGTCGTAAGGTGGATCATCTTTTCCCATACGATTACATGTAAAACCAAATAATTCGTTCCAACGCGAAAAACATACTCAAATTAAAGCCAAGTAATACATTTAAAAAAATAACTGTAGTAAGAAAAACAAATGAAAAATGCGAACTAATGTAACGTCGTATGGTGAGTTTTTGTTCGTATCGTGGAGCAAAAATATGTTCGAATTTCATGTCGTATCCTGAAAATTTCGTATGCTGGGGCGTTCGTAACCTGAGGTACCACTGTATCTGCTTATTCCATAAATTGAATATTTTGTATAATAAACTTGTTTCATATTTCTCATTTTCAGATAATGTTATGCATGTTTTCCCAATTCGGTATGCTAACAATTAATATAAAGCGTGTATGATTCTGTGAGTGAAACCAAGACTTTTGTACATCCAGCAATTTATTAAATAAATATTTTCAGTCATCATAGTAACTCTGGGTCACAAATCAAAGACAGCTAAGGTGTGGATAATATACAAGATGTACAGTACAAAAAGTTAAAATTTTGAAATCTTTCAAAGGATAAGAAGTTTAAAAATGTAAATAAAGTTTTTAGCAAAATTTAAATTGGTGATTACATAGAGTAAAATCTCCATTTGTGATCACTCGGGGAAGATCAAGAATAGTTACATATGGGAGGCATGCATAAAACAGACTATAATCTTTATTTCAATATGCAGTATTACAGAATTTTGCAATAAAGCTTACAAAGACAAGATGAATGTTTATTCAAAATTTAAGATAGTCTTTAGCATATTGACTTAAAGTAAGTCTTAATAGTATTGTTTTGTCAAAAAATAATAGTATGAATTTCAGTGAATGAAATCAATTTTGAATATCAAAAATGTCTATGTAGACATTTTGATCATCTTTTATGTTCACTGTAGCTTGATAAAAGCCTTTGAAAAAGTCAAAATTGTTTATTGAAAAATTTGTGCTGGAATTTATGGTTATGTATGATTCTGTTAACGAATGCAAGTTACCACTCACCCACCCTAATCCTATTATTACTGTAAAGAAGTTGCACTTCATTGTTTAGTAATAATAGCATTTCTGGAAACTGAATAGTTACATAGGAGAATGAAGTTGCATTTGAAGTAACTGCATGCCTAGACTTTACAAATAGTCACATATCAGAGACTTTTATGGAAGGGACCAAAGATGTGTTGTCATATATTGGATATGAGTGCAAAGAGTTCCCGTATATTGGGGTTGCATTGTTTCCTAATCTTAAAGGGTGACCCAAATTCTGTTACCAACAAACAAAACTCATGACATAGCTTATTCTGCAAATATAAAAGCAATGAATGATATTGTCCATTGTCCTATGTTGACTAAAACTTGCTTCCTTTGAGGCCAACTTAGTCCCAATTGCAACCAGGCCCACCTTGTGGGAGCGCTGATCCGACGTTGAATCATAATTTGCATAATACGCGGTGTTTTTTATAGTCTACCTCCCATTAGACTGTCAGATGGCCGAGCGGTCAAGGTAGCAACCTATCGCTCTGGGGGATCCGAGATCGAATCTGGCCTGGGTCAAAAAATCCCAGGAATGTTTTGGGGGTCGATCCGATTGGATATGTCGGCCCTGCCTCTCACCATTCTGTGGGCACTAAAAGTGCCTCTTAGCAAGTGCATTATGGGTTTGGCCACATCACTGTGGGCCTGGCCAAACCAGTAATGGGCTTACTAAAAGATGCCCTCTTAGTGCCCACAGGTTGGAAAGAGAAAGAATGTCTACCTACCATTTAAGTCGATGGAAAAACAGGAATATTTCTTCCAGTCACAAAGGAAGATTTTACTGTTTTTAGCATTAATGTAAGTACACTCGTGTCCAGAAGATAAGCATAATTGTTCAATCCACGGATAGAGCATAAGATAAAACAAACAGCAGAAAATTCGTTTGAACATTTATAGACAGTAAAAGTATGCGACTGTACTCAAATGTTTTATTAATCCCTAACTAATCGTAACATTTTTATTTCTTTTAAGTAATATGGTATGGTCTCACGTAAAGTACTGCTTAATTTACGTTTAGGAATAAAGCATTTGTAATTAAAAGTGTTTCAATTTGAAAGATGATAATACAATTTATACAAAATAAATTTTCATACCTTAATTAACTGTGTGTGCAGTCTTTGAACATCTTTTTTTTTGGCATAGCTAAGGCATTACGGGTCGAAAAATTTATTACAGTAACGTTACTTGCATGCAGCGGTCTCGGAAATTATGTGCATTGCTTATAAACTATCAGACTAACATGTAAGTTCATTTAAAGGTGTAGAGAGGGACGATTTTATCTGCTAACAGGAAAGAAAGTTATCGAAAAATCAAATTCTTAACGGGCTGTCAGACTTGCACGTTAGCCGAGTTATAACCAGAAGTTGCAATCGTGCCTTTCTTTTTAATTTCAACCTTAGTACGTTTGAGTGCCCCAAATGGCACTGACCGAGTGCAAATTAAAATTATGCGGTCTGTTGGAAACGCGCATCATTATTAAATCGTACTCGGCGAAGGCCTAGGCGCTTCATTGGTTTGTCTGTATTTTCGTCCAATGTTTTGTCCATGCAATAGTTTTCAATATTTTTTAAACTTTAATTTTTATATTTTAAAAAATGAATCCATGTAATAAAATTTACAAAATCTGTATTAAGAGAATAAAAAGGTTATTTTAAAAATCTCCACATGTAATTATGAGAGTTCCCGTGGGTACGAGCATGCATTTCACGGGTTCGGCCATGCCCACAATGGAGTACACGCCATATTTGGATGGACTATCGAGTGAAAAATATATGGGGTCTTTGAGAATTCAAAGCTGTAGACTGCCATCTTAACCGCTTGGCTGGATGGCCGAGCGGTCAAGGTGGCAGCCTACCGCTCTGGGGGACCCGGGCTCGAATTTGAACGGGTCAAAAAATCCCCAGGAATTTTTCAGGGGTGGTTCGTTCAGATATGTCGGGGCCCCGTCCCTCACCATCCGGCAGCCCCATTGTGGGCCTGGCCGAACCATAATGGGCTTGCAAAAAGAGGCCCTCTTAGTGCCCACAGGGCGGAAAGAGTTAAAAAAAACCGCTCGGCCATCCAGCCGTCTCGTTAACAAAGTTGTCGAGTCGGACAGAAATACATAGATTGTAACCTAGTTCTGCCGTGGTCTCTCACCACCCGGCCGAACCACTCGATGGATTTGATAAATACGACCTCTTGGCATCCGGGAGGAAAGAATTACGAAAAAAAAAGGGCCGCGAGAAATCAAGCGAATTTAGTCAATTTATAATAATAATTTTATCAGTTTTTTTTTAAAGTTAAGAGATTAAACTGTTTACGTATGATTTTAATTTTTTAAATATATATAAAGTATTTTTGTGTAAAAAGAAAGCGAAAATATTCTGTTTAAGTTTTAATTATTTTGGCTATTTTTAGGCGAAGAGCTTTTCAATAATTTGATAAACAGCTACTCTTGCGGAGGGAAGACGAGCGACTGGATATTTGCAAATGTAACAGTTTTCCCGTCGTTATTAATACGCATTTTTTTAAAATCCCGAATAGAAATATCGACAGCCGAAAGTAAGTTTAAACCATCTTCGTTCAAATTTAGTTTCTCTATAAGAAAAAACGTTGCGGAATTTACTTTATTTGAGTGTTATATTTGTCCTTTTCGAACAAAATGGCGGTCTTCTCTTTTTATTCTAGGATGCTTCTTCGAAAAAAAAAGCGGTTTGGTGGCTTTGACAAATGTTTTCCATCGTTTGCTGTTCTTAAGTTTCATATTTTGTGCATAATACTAATGAAATATGTAAATAGACGACATTTTTTTTAATGCGCGAATCGTCTGATTGTTCCGGAAAATTGAATTGCCTAATTGAGTCTGGAGGAGGGAAACGTCTTCGTTCATCTTGTTTTTGAATTTATTTCACGCGAATTTAATTTATTAGCTGATTATTTGTTCCTGGAATGTTTCTATCCTGTTGTGTATGCATTTCTGACAAATGCCGCGGTAAATGCACAATTGCAGATACGAATGACGTCTTTGGGACCCGAATGGAGCCGTAGACCGTACCGGTAGGAGCAAAAAAGTCGGAGGAACCGTATCTCTACGTGCGACCCTTGGCGAGACGTAGCCTTCCGAAATCGGTCCTCTTCCGAGCGCGATCGGGAGTTCGTGCTGCCCGCTCTTCTGGGACTATCGCTTTTAACTGTTTAATCCGCGTGATTGAGCCGGCTTTGAGTAGCCCCGTCGACTGTGGAGTACTCGATATTATGTACTTTGATGGGGTGTGGGCTTGCCTCCGCCTGGACGCTTCACACGACTACCAGAGGCACACCGACTATTAAGTGTTGTGGGCACTGGTTGCTGTACCTAAAACGTAACTTGCTTGCAGACGTTGTATCCACAAGGAAGATGGCGACTGAAATTTGCCGCCGTTGGGCTTCCATGTTTGGAGGATTGTGATGAATGTGTTGACGATGTCAGTAATCTTTTAGTGTGTCTTTCTGTGTTCGTTAATGGTGGAATTGTCGACCTGCCGTCGGTTTCTTCTGGAGTATAATTTTTCAAATTGGATCTCTTGATTTTGTTCTTTGCAGCACTTTTTTGGAGATTTAATCATCCATTCTAGTTGTTTCACAAGATGCACGCTGATGCTTTTTATATGGGTAGAACTATCTCCCACTTCTTTAATCCATTTATCCCAGTTTCCTCATGTGCCTCTTGATTGACTTATTAACTTTGATAGTTTAGAGGCTGCAGTTTACTGATGAATCTTTCAGGTATAACTACAAGTGGAGTGGTTAATTAAATATATTTTGAATAAAAGTTATATTACTTATCATAAAATGAATATTATTATTGGTTTGATTGATTTAATATGCTCACTCTTGAGCAACAAAAAATTAAACACTATATCACATTATCTAAAAACACACTTGTATACCAAACCAGTTAATCAAACATCAAAAATATTTAATATAACAAATATTTTCATTTGTTTTAATTGGACATCTTCAGGTTACAGAAGCATATTAAAGAACAGAATACCAAATTGAATTTTTAAACGGCCTAAGTTTGGGCATTTGCCCTAAGCAGAGAATGCATATCATAAAGAAAAAAATCATATAATTAATAAAATAATAAATATTTGATTAATAAACTAGAGAGCATACATTAAATGATTTACTATAGTTCAAACAATTCTTTCCATGCCATTGACAGATTGTCTAATTCTCTGAAGTTGATTGCAGTCCTATTTTTCATAACCTTATAAATTTCTAGACTCCCAAGTATAGGTAACCCCCGTATAACACGGCACTTCTATAGCACGGATTCACTCTAACACGGTTCGAGAATTGGGAACATCCCCTGTATAACACGGTGGTTTTATAGCACGGGTTCACTCTAACACGGTTCGGGAATTGGGTAAAACCCTCGTACAACATAAAATGTAATAAAGGGTGTGTTCTTTTATACTTCCGCATAACTCCGCGCGAGCATTCTAATTGTTTTCGTGGCTACTTTGAATGCTCTTTCAACAAATAATCCATTTAATGGTTAAATTTTACAATTGGGACCCTTCTTTTGCCTCTAAAAGCCCATTTTAGAATTATAGATTCCTCCATCGCGATACTGTCGATAGTGCAGGCGCCGCCATTTTTCTTTCACCATCGTTCCTAAATGCCTACAAACAGCAGCACACTCCTGTTGCAGAGTGACCGCTATTAATGAACGCACCCAAAAACTTACCAGTTGATGATGCTCATGCTGAGATCATCATATAAGATGAATAATCCTCTGGTAAAATATTTACTTAAATAATAAATAAGTATTTTACCTATGAAAAAAATGAATAATAAATCCGATTTAAATAAGGATTTAATTAACAGCATGTTTTTTAATTTTTGGAACCTAACCCCCCTTATTGCACTAGTTCTTTGTTTCGTATAACATGGATTCGCATAACACGGCAATTTTTTGGAACGTAACTCCCGTGTTATACGGGGGTTACCTGTATTTTAATTAATCATGCCAGATCATCTTTGTGGCTTAGCAGTCTGGTATTGTAAGTGACTAGAACATTGTCATTCCTTATGTATGTGGCCAGAGCAGTGTTATATAGTTTTTTCCTAATTATTTGTTCTTTGATGTGAGTGATCAAAAACAACTTAGTTTTAATATCTACCAGTTCTTGAAGTATTTATTCTATAATTTTGTAATTAAAAAAAATTTCAAAATTGGTTTTTTAATTTTTATATTTGCCATATGTAAATTTTATATGATTTAATGTCATTGTTGTTCCGAATCTAACTTTGTGAAGACAATATTTTTGAAGATGTCGAAAACATTTGAATTTTAGTTTTGTTGTTAAAGTGTATTTAACAGCAGATACTGCATTAAATATCTTTATAATCTGTGGATAAAACCACCAAACACTGGTAGTTGGTTGTGAGTTCACACCTGGCCAACAGTGGCATTTTCTGGGTTTTCTTTGTGTTAGTAACACCTAAATAGGGGCCAGTTTCCTATAAAAGACTTCCCAGGAAGCATTCACTCTTGGTGGATCGTCCATGCATCACATTCCTGTGTACGAATAAAAACAACCTGTACAACATGAGGATGTGTTTCATATTATAGGAAATTGCATTATTGGGACATGCATTATCAGACAATTCTAGGCAAGTTTAAACCTAGACCTAGAAGTTGAAAAAGAAAACGTATACTTCTGGACAACAAAATTAGAATTTTTTTGTTATACAAATTCATGTTTCAGGGGAGCACATTGTACAGAAGTTCACTGTATTCACAAAGGATTGTTGTGTTATATTTTGTTGACTTTTAGAGTACATTCCTTAATGTCTATTTTCAATATTTTTAGTTTCACATATTAAATTATATAACTTGTCAAGTTAAAATTCTTATTTTGAACATTTTAAGAAATTTCTTTGTTTTGTTTTCTTAAAATATTTTCAGTTTATGATTTGTTATAAGAAATTTATTATTGTAATTAAAAATGGTGGACAAGCTATATGCTAAATTTGATTAATGTTTATTGCAAATTTATAAGAATAATAATAAAAATGCATTAATTTCAAAACACAGTGAAACAGACATTATCACAAGACATATATACAGTAAAACCTGTGTATGGCGACCATACATGGTTCCTTTCAAAAAATGGTCTTTTATTCAGGTGAATGTCCAACACAGGTGATGCTGTAATACTGTATTTCCACATGTATTTTGCACACTTTATAGCCATTTATACTAAGCAAAATTCAAGGTGAGCAAAAATAAGTGAATTTTTTTCAATGATAGAGCTATATTGGTGCTGTATTTTATTTTTATCAGATAACTTGATTAACAGAAGTCATCGTGATTTTATAAGACAGATTTAATACCAGTATTTGCATTTTCTTGTTATAATGTATGCTTTTTTTTTCCAACTTAATTAATTCAACTTGGTTCTCTTCCTTCGCTCTTCAGTTATGTGTATTATGTCATTGATATAGAAGCGCGTTGTATCTCTCCACCACTTTGGTTTTGGTTTTCATTAGTTTAATCCTATTTTAACTTTAAAAATACTGTATTTTTAAAAAAATATTTAATATTTTCTTAAGTACAACAAGAAAAATTAATTAATAAAAACATGATTGTATTATTTCTTCTCATAATCTAATTTCATTACATCAATGACAATTGTGGAATCAAAAAAGGAAGGTTTTCTGTAAAACTGATTTTTTTGCATTAATACATTTATTGCTTTTTGAATATTTTGCATGTGAAAATTACTTGGATATTATTTTTCTAAAAATATTGCAGAAATAATGTAGGTTGTATGATACAGAAACTATTTATTGTACATGTACTGTATATGAGCTTCAAAAAAAATAAATACATTTTATCAAATGATGAGATCAGCTGATTAATTGTATTGTTTACAATATTTTATACACCTAACAAGGAGAGCCTACGGCTTTGGGGTAACGGATTTTGATGATCTTTGGTGTAGAGGTAGTACACCATGTGAGTGTACTACCTGTAAAATACTAAAGTGCAATACTCAAATATAATCGAGAAAAACGAACTTAAAGTTTTTGAGCACTTTATATATAAATTATACGTGCTTCCATTCAAGCGTCCTGTGGCTGAGTGGTAACGATCCTGGTTCGTATGCTTGATTTCCCGGGTTCGATTCTCGTGTACACTTTTCATAAATATTCATATTCATAAATACTTATAATGTGTATTCATAAATACTTATAATGTATTTATTTATTTACTCATTCATTTATTTCTTATTATTTATTTATTTTAATTTAATTTCTACTATTCCAAGTCTAATATTTTTATACTTTTGTTGACAATAACGGCGCATTCTTGACACCTATGTGTCAACTTTCCCATCTAATTGTTATCACTAACGGTGACCGATCTAATTCTCACTAGGAGCGTTTTTTCTATCGGAGTTCTTTTTCACTCACTCTTTAACAGTTCGTTTCTAAATTTCGACACGAATAGACGTATTTGTGTAGTAAAACTTATTTTGAAAAATTATTTTATAATCAAAAAATGTCGTCAAGAGAAGCAAGTTCTTCACGTTGTGACGAAAAAACTGTTGATGATAACTCTTTATACAGTGATGTAAAATACTAACTTGTAAAGTGCAAAACTCAAATATAACCAAGAAAAACGAATATAATTTATTGAAGCAATATTATATAATTACATATCATTGTCAGATGTACATGATCGTGAATGATACTTATGATAAAAACATTCAAAACAAAAATTCTGTCTACACCAAGAACAACAAATAAATGCTGCTTTTTTAAAAGGTATCATCAACAGTTTTTTCGTCACAACGTGAAGAACTTGCTTCTCTTGACGACATTTTTCGATTATAAAATAATTTTTCAAAATAAGTTTTACTACACAAATACGTCTATTCGTGTCGAAATTTAGAAACGAACTGTTAAAGAGTGAGTGAAAAAGAACTCCGATAGAAAAAACGCTCCTAGTGAGAATTAGATCGGTCACCGTTAGTGATAACAATTAGATGGGAAAGTTGACACATAGGTGTCAAGAATGCGCCGTTATTGTCAACAAAAGTATAAAAATATTAGACTTGGAATAGTAGAAATTAAATTAAAATAAATAAATAATAAGAAATAAATGAATGAGTAAATAAATAAATACATTATAAGTATTTATGAATTAAAAAAAAAATTATACGCGAGAATCGAACCCGAGAACTCAAGCTTATGAATCAGACTCGTTACCACTCTGCCACAGGACGCTCGAATAGAAATACGTATAATTTATATATAAAGTGCTAACAAAACTTTAAGTTCGATTTTCTCGATTATATTTGAGTATTGCACTTTAGTATTTTACAGGTAGTACACTCACATCGTGTACTACCTCTACACCAAAGATCATCAAAATCCGTTACCCCAAAGCCGTAGGCTCTCCTTGTAAGAAAAATACTGTAGGTCTACAGTACAGTGATACCTCGACTTATGCTACCCCGACTTACGCGAACCCGGAGTTACGCGATTTTCAAATCTCGTCGATTTGTCTTTTGTTTGAGCACCACGCAACTCTTGATTACTTATTCTTTCCACACTATTGTTCAACTTACATGTTCAGACGTGTCGCGCAGAATCGACACATAGCTACAATTTATTTTGTGTTATTTATTTCTGTGTTTGTTATATCTACGGAGACTCAAGAGACTCTATGTGGTGATTTCTTACAACCGCGAACGAATCAAAAGACGAGATGAGATTAACGAGAACATTTATTAGCTTACATACGTCCGACTTGGATTTTACACACATTGAGAAATTATACCCCGACTTATGCGAATTCGACTTACGCGGTTATCGCTCGGTCTCACCTATCGCGTAAGTTCGGGGTATTACTGTACAATAAATTGCATTTACCCACTTTGCCGCTAATTGCCATTGTGATAAACCATTTTCACTTTCTCTGATAACTTTAATACAATCTTCTAATGACAGCATTTTGCATTTCTTTCGTTTATCAGACATTTTCAAACAAACTGAAATGAATTTCCTTTATAGCTAGACTAAATTCATTAACACCTGCACCTAATTTCAAGAGGGGAGAAGTGCTGGAGGGAGGTTTGAACAAGAGTTTAGACTAATTCATTATATTAGGAGGGGGAAATGTTGTTGAGATGGGTTCAAACAATAGTTTAGACTAGATATGTTTGCGGAAGTGGTCGCTTATTAGAGTTGTGTATGTTGTTTCCGACCAAAATTCGATGCCCACAGTCGCGTTACACAGGTGGTCATTTAATACAGTAGAACCTCGAAAACTCGGCCTAATGTGGACCGAAGGGTGGCCGAGTTTGTGAAAATGCCGGGTTATCAGGAATGGGGTTAAAAAAGGATAAGTATGCGTGTTTCCTCAGAAAATACTGTACTGTACTTGTATGTATTGTTTGCTTGAGAATACAACAGAGAATAAACTGCCCAAATACCCTTAAAAAAAGGAAAAGTACGTCCTTTATGAAGGCATAGAGCCTTTACTACATGAAAATGAAAATTAATGAATACACTGTGTACAGTAATTTACCTGATAAGACAGACCTCAGAAAAATACTTTATGAGAGCTTTTATACTTTTATAAAGCTGTCTATAATGAAAATTAATTTAACTAAGGATTTTTTTGCCCTGCCAGGGTGTGGCCGAGTTATCCGGAGTGCCGGGTTATCGAGAGCCGAGTTTTCGAGGTTCTACTGTATAGGTAATTTATATGAAGACTATGTATAAACTATTTTGTGCCAGAAATTTTTGCCTGTTTTGACAGGTGGTCACCTAAGCAGTTTTTACTGTATTTGAGAAAAAAATAGTTTTGGTGAACAGTAGTCAAGATTTTATTAAGTAAGAAATATTCTCGGGAGGGTCGGTATTACTAAAAATAGTAGGCATGAAAAAGTCTTGGTTGTGCCAGTAAAAGAGTTAAACACAAATACATACATGAACAGCACATAAACATAATGCTTTGCCTTGATACTGGTTTGGCATAGCATTATGCAATGGTATATAAGCCAGGTTGGATATACTCCACCTCCACTATAATAATAATAATAATACAGTAGAGCCTCGATTATCCGACCGTCCTAGTCGGTAAATTTCAAATGTCCGCTAGTGATGTGGCGCTACAATATTTGGCTATGTCTTGGCTACTTTAATATTATTTTTACGTGTTTTAGCTGGCAACACTCATTTGACCATGAAAGGGAGCCAGTATTTAAACGAGGCTTAATTTTCTAATTTTTAACGATACAATAGCGACGATTATTTATTTAAAAAAGTTTTGTTAGGCTTAACGTCGATGAAAATTCAACGCGAAGTAGGTTAATAGCGATATACTAATTACATGGGATATAATAATATACTACACTAATAATGGATTTTTTCATACTTTTTGGTTATCCGACTTTTCAATTATCCGACCAACCCCAGTCTTCAATTGAGTCGGATAATCGAGGCTCTACTGTAATAATAATAGAACAAAAATAAAAACAGTTACAAAGTTACATTGATTTAAGATAAACTTTTTATTTAAATTGATTTTATATATAGTTGATTAACACATTAAATAAATTAATTAAATTAATCATTGTCAGAAATTAATTTTGTGTGTATTTCTAGGTAATGATGATTGTTGAAAAAAATTACAGGCCGAGATGTTTCTTTGATGTAGAAATGGGCGGTCAGCCTCGTGAGTTTGTTACAGTATTTTTCAAATTTTAAGATATGCCAACTTTTGTTAATGACAAATTTATGACATTAAATTAAATCATTTTAATTTTTTAAATGCTACTTCTAAAAATAAATTCAATATTAAAGGGTGTCTGAAAAAGATCTGATAAATTGTAGAAACTCAAAAATTTATTTTAGGAAGACAGATACGACTACAAAGTTTGTTCTAATTAATGAGCAGATTCAAAAAGGTTTTTCATCTTTAAGAAATCTTGATATCTGTGTCGAGATAATACTTACTCTTCAGGCGTCGCATAACGTGTCTTGAGTGACAGTTCTGACTGCAGTTATTACGTGACCTTTTAATGTTTCATTGTTTGTAACACATGTTTCATAAACCAGATCCTTCAAAAACCCCATAAAAAAGGTTCAATGGGGTTATGTCAGGAGAGAGATGGAAACTGAAATGGTCCTTCTCTCTTCATATATTGGCTAGGAAAAGCTTTATCCAAAACTTCTACCTGCAGAAACAGTAGCATTCTGTGTTTTTATAATGCAGGAAAAACTTTTTACATTTTGCCGATATTGTTGAAAGCCATGTGTGTTGATCTGTTTTCCCTAAATACATAATATTTCTTGTAATCTGTCAGCTCTTTTTCAGATACCTTATATTTCATCATTAAATTAATAAATTAAAAATTTAACTTGGTTATATTTTTTGAAAATTTTATACTAAACTTCTGGTAAAAATAAAATTAGCAGCAGTAAGATTGGGTATTGAAAAAATTATAATTACTAGTAGTCCTTGGTTAATGTGATAGATATTTTTTTTAAAAGTAGTGCATTAAGCAAATTTTCTGTAAAGCATATTCTAGCAATCTTCTCTGAAACTGTGATATACCAAGAAATTGGCATATTGTATGAAACACTGCCGTAATTAATAAACTGCATTAAAATGAAAGTGTGTTAATGGAAAGCTTGTTAACCAAGGATTATCTGTACATATCTTCATGTTTTGATTAACAATAAAATCTAATATTAATGTATATCTTTTCCAGAGTTTTGAGGAATGCTTTCTAATAAATTTGGCCCTAGAGGGAGGCATTAGATGCCGTCTCATATTAAATTTAATTATTGAATGCTTTCTAATTTTAAAAATTCATTATCAGAATTTTAAGTAGCTAATTAAAATTTAAATAGTAATAATTCTTGGAATAAGTGATTAAAATTTAATACAATAATTTTAGAAATTATTAGGCATTAATAGTCAATAATAAATTAGCAAATCTTATTAGAATATTTAAACTGAAGATTGTATTGTTAAAACATTGACTCTCAAATTAAAATACAGTGGATTCTCCATCAATCATTCCTGTATCAATTGTTTTCCTGCATGTATATTGATTTTATCCAGTCCCAAGTAAGGACCAATATATATATATATATTGTTAATTTTTCCCATATTTTTCATTCTCACAATGTTCATTCTGTATTTTAACTGAAAGAAAAATATTATCCCACATCAGTCATTTTACTCACATTAGAAGGTGCTAAATTGAAACACTGATTTTCATGTACTAAAAATAAAAGCATGTCAGATTTAACAGATAAAATCCTTTGAATATAGTTAACCAGTTTTTATTGTGATTTTTGACTAACTTTTGTGTACTGCTTTACAAAATATTGTACTTTATTGGCTGCATGTTGTCTTGGTTGCCATCTGTACAATAATAATTTATTTGTACAATTATTTTGGGCACTGTACGATATACGATAATGTCTGTAGGGTTTTTGTACAATAATTTCATAAATATGTCTTACTCTGAAATCAATTGTTAATTATTGGGGGAAAAAACAATTTGCAATCACTATTTTTATACATATTACCTTTTCATTGACATTTCATGTCTTTTTCATTGCTAGAGGGCTACTAAATTTTTGGAAGTTTTTAGATATAAGGTATAAAAGGCATACCTTTGTCATACTTTTTGAGATTGCTAACTGCTATACTTTTAGACCTACTGATCTTTAGGTGTCTTCTCCTGTCAGGAGGTTGACGACAATTTCACACCACCATGATTTATCTTGTGCTTCTCTTGAGCATTCTTCATATGCTAAGTATGTCCAATTCCTGATGTTGTTGAACCAATTCATTTTTGGCATACCCCTGCCTCTTTGCTCTTCAATCATTCCCTTCAGTAATAGTTTTTGTAGGCTTTGGTGTCACAGTACATGCCCTAGATAACTCACTTTTTTCCTTACTACTACTAGTATGGTTCTTTTCTGATTTTCCAGGATATCTTCATTTGTTCTTGCCCTCCAAGGAACTCTCAGCATTCTTTGAATCATCCATATGCCTTTCAAATGCCTTTAATTTCTTTTTGTTATTTGCATTCATTGTCCAACTCTCTGTTCCGTAAAGCAGGGTCGACCAAACATTTTTCCAACCTAACTTTTGTTTGTATACTAATCTTCCTTGATGTCAACACTTGTAAATGCAGTCCTTGCAATTCCAATCCTTCTTCCAATTTCTTTATCATTCCTTCCATCATCTGTAATGATATGTTCTAGATAGACATAACTTTTGACCTGCCCCAGTTTACTCTCTCTGATTTTAATATTTACTTTTGGATTTTCTTTCTCATTAGAAATGACCATAGTTTTGGTCTTTTTAAAGTTCAGTGTTAGTCCGAATTGATTGCTCGATTTTGATATTTTCTCTATCAGCATTATTAGATCCCATTCATTTTCTGCTAATAGCAGTGTCATCAGCATACTTAAGATTATTGAAATTTCTGCTCCCTATGTTTACTCTTTTAGATCTTTGACCTGACTGAAAATTCTTTCTGTATAAAGATTGAACAAAATTGGAGACAGCACACAACCTTGCCTAACTCCTTTTTGTATTAAGAAGTTTTGCAACAATTCTTTGCCAATCCTTATTGTAGCCCTCTGTCCCCAGTATAAATTGGCAAGTAATCTGACATCCTTTCCATCTATATCTTTTTCTAATAGACATTTAATAAGGTAATCATGTTTCATGTTATCAAACACCTTTGTATAGTCTATAAAACATAGATAAATATTTCTGTTTTTCCTTATATCTTTCAATAATAGTTTTCAGATTGAAAATATCTTTTGTTCCTTTATTCTCTTAGAAACCACTTTTTGTGTTACACTTATGCCTTCATTCCATCTTCCTTTGTTTCTATTTAACAAGATGAATCTTTGCCACATGAATAATTAGGCTTATGGTTCTAAAATCCTCACACTTGTTTGCTTTTGGTTTTTTGGGGATTGGAACAAATATAGACTGTTTGAAGTCTTCAGGAAGGTATCCCAGTTCATAGATGTCATTGCATAACTTAGCTAGGGCTTCAATGCCTCCATCTAGAACTTTCATCCATTGTGGTTATATATTGTCTGGGCCAGCAGCCTTACTGGGTTTAAGTTTATTAATGGCTTTTACAACTTCCCATTTGAGCATTGGTGGGCTTTCTAACTCCCTGGGAGATTCAATCTCCTCCCTGTCGCCTTGGAATAATTCCTTTCCATATACCACCTTTTCATTATTTCTTCTGTCTCCAAGATTTAAATCTCATATACCTTGTTCTTGAAAATTCCGTTTTTTAAAAGTAACTTCTCTGATTTTTTCATGGAGTTCTTTTATTTTATTTTTTTTTATCCAAACTTTCAATTTCACATTTTTTGTTAAGCCACTCTTCTTTAGCCTTTCTACACTATCTTTTTATAGATCTTGTTAAATTTTTATATCCTAGTTTATTTTTCAAACTTCCTATTCTCCAAAATATTTAGAATTTTATCAGTCATCCAAGGTTTGCTAATTTTTCTAATGTATTCTGGGATGTTATTAGCAGCAGCTCTGCTTTCCTTATACATTCCTTAAAGGCATTCCATGATTCATTGATATCCTCTATTGATTGATTATATTCTTTATTAATTTTATTGTTATTGATTTCCCTAATAAATTTGTCATTAAATTTTACTTTTATGTTCTCTTCCTTTAATATTGCTGAATTTAACTTCTTTGATACTGACTTTTGACCTACCGATAAAATGTTCAAATTGATGTGAAAAGAATATTTGTGCAAATAAATGTTCTGTTGAAATGCCATTATTCTTTTACTTGTACAAAATGTAATAAAATCTATTAATGTAGTAACTTTAGAATAGTTTCTATCTAGTGGACTGTCTAGAACTGAAACTTTTGGCATAGGGAGTCATGACTCCCTATGCCAAGGAGTGGACTAAAAATTTTAGAGTTTAAAAAATTTGGAAAAATTAAGATTTATGTGTATGAAATAAGTAAAGTACCGTATATACCGGCGTATAAGACAACCCCCGACTTTTATAGTTAAAATATAGATTTTGGGATATACTTGACTGTTGGACATTTTTATACCAGCCCGCCCTTGTATCCTATTTCCCCTTCTATGATCACATGGATTCTGTAAGATGCCCTCTGGTTGATTTTTTTAAAATTTTTCAAAAAATAAAAAAAAATATGTTCTCCAATTTCTTCGAGCTGCAAAAGATGCAATAAATAACGTTTTTATTGTGTGCCCTTTTTTCCCACGTGACCTTTCGGGTAGGAAAAATTTGGCAGAAAAACACACTATCATCGATCGCAAGCATTTTTTTTGCTATCAATTTTTTTCTCCCAGTAATTTTTTTTTATTTCAAGAAAAAGATCGATTCTAACCCGATTTTGAAATGAGATGTTGCAACATACCAGCCTGCCCTTATATCCTATTACCGTACCTCTTTCTCTGCCTCTCAGATCTTGCATATGCGTGCCTGCGCCGCTTCACTGCAGTCCTCAGGAGTGCGATCTGAGAGGCAGAGAAAGAGGTACGAAAGAATCTGAGATCTGAGATGAAGAGAAAGAGGTAATAGGATACACACAAGGGCGGGCCAGACAGGTTAAAGAAGCGTGTTTTTCTGGGCACAGTGCCGCTCTATCTCTATCCATACCCTGGGCGTCCCGGCCAACTGCAGCACCCACCCTATAAGACGACCCGCAACTTTTGAAAAGATTTTCCTGGGTTAAAAAGTTGTCTTATATGCTGGAATATACGGTATATAAAGGAATGGTATATATTTGTTAATAATAATTTGTTAATGTTTGGTATGTTAAAATTGTATGAAAAAACATAAATTTTAGGTTATCTTCATTGAGAGATTTGTTTTGCCTCATATAAGGGAGAGTTGTGAAAATTTCATTGTAAAATGGCGTGTAAAATTTTTTGTCATAAGAAGAGATTGCAAATAAAAAATAGGATATTCTGACATAAGGCAAACCTTGTTAATATTTCTATGGATAAAGGATATAAGTATAAAGAATTAAGATTGATGTACGATAATTTTAAGTGAAATAATAATTTCAAGGGGCAGATACAATGATTTCCTCTCATAAGATTGGCAACTCTGTGTTGTCTTGAGGTAGGGGATTTGTCCAGACATGAGTCTGGACAAATGAGAAAAGTCAGAACCCTTTTCTGTAAGAGAATCAACATATTGTAAGTGTCAAAAATTTATAATTTCACTAACATTTTAGAGACTTCTACTGTATCATTTTCAAATGCAAGAAAAGAGTCAATACATGAAATATTCTTACTAAAAGAAAATAGAAAAAATTTCAGTATTTTTAACAATTTTTTAAAATGTAGAATAAACCAGGAGTTCCCAACTTGTGTTATGAAGAATTCTAGGGTTCGGCCAATAAAAATTTGGGGTTTCGCAATAAAATCCGTTGAGTCTAGTGATGTATGAATGTGCCAATGCAGATTTCGGAGGTGAGATGTAATTGTTCTAGTCTCAGATCAAGTTCTTGTATGACCACACAAGGATTCGATCCAAGACTATACACGTACTAAAGTTATTTATAGCTTTATAAAGAGTGGGGCCTATTTATTGGTAATAGAACAAACCGAAATCATGATATAATGTTTGACAAGGTAATGGAAACCATAAAAACAGTAAAACATAAACTAAAGCTATAAAATCATTAAAAAATTATAACCTTAAAAAGGATCCAACATATAAAAAAATACAATTGTTAAATTGATTTAACAATTGTATTTTTTATACAATTTATTTTTCTGCTTTTAATATATCTATATAAATAAAAATGTAAATGTTCGTTTGTTCAAAATCTTAAATCTCCGAAAGTTATTAACCGATTGCTTTGAAATTTTGACACAATGTTTCATTCTAATACGCACGTTTTTATATTATATAGATGTCGAAATTCCCCCTGTGGGGGAGAGGGACAAATTTAAGGCTTACTGTGAAGAACTGGTCTTCTATTATTCTATTTTAGATGCAGTTTTTTATTGTGTTTTAATAGGGTATGTCAAGAGAATGTACTGTACACTAAGAAAGAATTTTTCAAATTTCCCCCGCGGGGATTGTTATACATTTATAATAGATACATTTTGAGCCACAACAATGCATGGCCGGGTACAGCTAGTATACATATATATTAAAAGCAAAATGTTCTGTCACCACTGCACACAAATAATGTAAATTTAAAAATAAATTTGATTTACAATTTAAAAATTTCAAAACAACTTTTAAATGGTTTTTAAAAATATTGTTTTAATTTTCAATTGCTTTGATTTTAATTCTAATTAATTAATTTTGATTATATTTAATTGTAGTTTTACTTTCTGTTTTGGTGTAAAGTGACTACCTAGTATTGATATCTGTAGGGTTCCAACATTTTTATTAAGGTGAAAAGGGTTCCATGATAAAAATAAGTTGGGGACCTCTGGAATAAATGAACGTCCGTGCACATGCTCCATATCGTTTAATATTACAGAAAGTGTATCACTGGAAAATACACATTTTGTACAAAATAAACAATAAAAACATTGTCATAAATTTCCCATGTCAATTGTTTTCCCACATCAGCCATTTTTTCCCTTTGAGTCCTGGCAAAAAACAATAGATCAAGAATCCACTGTACTCTAATTGGTCTAAGGATGAAGCCGGCATGAAAATATACATATTTAAATATCATAAAAAGAATGTAGAATAATATAAGTTGTAAAGTTTACAATTTTTAGAAGTGGAAAATAATGGATAGTAGATCTTGTGTTTATTGTAAATTAATTGCTTTTGTAAATGATCAAAAAATAAAATAAAATTTTGATATTTATATTGATAAATCATGCTGTATAATAAATAGCCTTTTATACCGTTTACAAAATTATTCCAATTTACAGTTGGAAGAATTGTATTTGAACTTTTTTCGGATGTATGTCCCATAACATGTGAGAATTTCAGAGCATTATGTACAGGTATTTTATTTTTTTTTTATAAATATTAAATCATACTCGTTTATACAACGAAAGTTTATAAACTTTCCAAGAATGACTTTTATATAATGCTTTCAATATAGGAGAGAAAGGAATTGGGAAGACAACTGGGAAACCTGCTCATTATAAAGGTGTGATTTTTCATCGTGTAGTGAAGAATTTCATGATTCAAGGAGGAGATTTTTCAGCTGGTAAGCATGCATTTTATAAATGCTGCCATGTTAATTATTAAAGATTTAGTGACTTTTATGAGCTGTTTGCAATTCAATCTGTAAATCCGCATTATCTAGTTCATGAATTTCGTATCTAGCTTTTTGAAAATGTGCACTTTTGAACTGGTACTACACAATTTAAGAACACAATTAATTTTCAAGAATATTTTTAACTATAAAGTGTTTTACCATAGACTTGATTTAAAAAATAAATTGTAATGGTTTTCTTTTTAATTTGATTATACAGTGGAACCTCTATATTTGTAATATTCGATATTCATCACATTTTGATGACTCCCCCATATTCGTCAGTATTTTCTGTATTCATCGTCGTTTTCATCACCGGCAGTGGTGCTACAATCGCATGCCCATGCCGATTAGCTAGCTGTGTTAGCTTAGGGTGCGTTTACTTCTGAGTTAGCAGTGCTAATTCTGATAACCGGATGTGACGTCATTAGCACGTGTATTCGTGCTTGCTTGTCCAATTCAAAAGTGAACACATACGCTAAAAAGAAATATGGCGGGAAACAGCCATATTTCTTGTTAGCGTATGTGTTCACTTTTGAATTGGACAAGCAAGCACGAATACACGTGCTAATGACGTCACATCCGGTTATCAGAATTAGCACTGCTAACTCAGAAGTAAACACACCCTTAGTGATGCCAATTTAGCTAATTTTTTCCTAGATTTAGTGGATTTATGAAAGCTTTGCAAATTACCTATAATGTTATCTAGATATAAAATTCAAACAATTTTAATGGAAACAATATGATTTGAATATTTTTATTAAAATGTCTAGCTATAAATTTGAAGTTTGACTTGGCAACACTATAGCTATAGTTAATCAGTCTGTTTTGTGCAGTTGTGCGTGTTCTTGGTTTCGCACGTTGATTATTTTGAAAAACTCAAGTTCCAATGGCTCCAACAAAGCGTACTGAAGAAAAACAGCAAAAAGGAAAGCTGTTAGAACAACAATAGAGATAAAAAAAATTAATTGATAAGTCTGAAAATGGACGAAGTAGGGAGGTTGCAGCCAGAGTTTTCATTTTTAAAACATGAACGTTGAGCACTGCCATGTTGTAAACCTAGAAGTTTGACAATGGCGTTTGGAACATCATTGGAATAATGCTCGATGTTCTAAACGCCATTATCAAATTTCTAAGCTTACAAGATGGTGGCATTCAACGTTCATGTTTTAGACATGAAAACTTCGGTCCAACCTCTCTAGTGTTTCCAACTTAGCCAAAGAATTTAATATGTTGAGATCATAATTGGAATTAATTGATGATATGTCTTCTTCTAAACTATAATAACCCTACTCTTCTTCCTCTTCTACCACTGTATTGTATTTATTTATTTAGTACAATAAAGATAGTTTACAAACAACAAAGTTTTTATTCTTGTATCTTTTTTAGGATGGGAATGGATTAATTGAATATCAGTTATTTATTATGAGAAAAATTGTTTCTATGTTCATCATTTTCCATATTTGTTAGATCCTTAGGAACAGATTAATGACAAATATAGAGGTTTCACTGAAATTTTGAAAGGAAGGTTGTTTTTAATCTGAAAAGTAAATATTTGCTTTAATTGTTGTTTGAATTATGATAAGAGTTTAAAACTAAATATTGGAAGTTTTAAATCTTTATTTGAAGTTACAGGAATGTTCATATCTCTCGATAATCATAATTATCTTATTGTACAGAATATTTGAAATAATTTAAGTTTCTCAGAATTTGTTTAGAAAATTTGACTTTTAAATCACTTAGAATAAATATTTTACAGATCACTTCAGTTGTATTATATTTTGTACGGTAATAAAAGAACATAGCTAAAAACATTTCTCGCCACCAATTCAGTTGTTTTTCCTTATTTCTGCTGAAAGAAATGTGTTTGACCCGAAAGGACTGTTACTTGTTTGTTGTGTGAAAAGTCTGTGTATTAGTTATAATTTCAATTTGCTTGGAAATTTCTGATTTATGACTGTTCTTTCTATTAGAAAGTTTTGTTTAAAAAAATCTCTAAAAATATCTGTTTAGCTCACTCCAGAATAAACTTGTTGACCAAAAAAACACCTTATACACCCAGATAGAATTGTCTGATTGCTGCAGAACTCTGCACACAGCTTTGTCTCAGACAGATATGTGAATGATTACAGCTGTGATTCAATTTCCTATCATATAATACTACCAGAATGCCTTAAATTGCTACCCCAGTATCCTATAAAAAAACTCAGAGTTTCTTCAGAGTATTGTTCATGAGTAACATGATGTAAGTGTCAGAAACTGCGGGTGAATTTTCACAATTGCCATTGTTTTTGCATGAGATTTGATTTGATGAATTAATTTCCTTAAAATACTTTTCTAGGAAATGGAAGCGGAGGAGAGTCAATATATGGAGGAACCTTTAAAGGTACTATGTAATTTATTTATTTAATCATATACTGTGTAAGCTATATACTATCTATACATTAATAATGCAGATGAATGTATTCACATTTTTCTTATTTTATAATGATTGTTCTATTGAATGCTATTTTTCCTAATGATAAAATTTATTTTATGATAAACATTTAGTCTTCCATTAGTTTCCTGTCAATAAATTTACAGTGGTGCCTTGTGCCAGAGTTTGAATGCAAAACTTGACAAAAAATTTACATAGGAGTTTGAGTGATGTTTCGAAGTTCAAACTGCACGTGCAGTGAAAAAATGTGCTCGAATACAAAAGTTACTATAAATTGTTTAGATTAATCATCTTTGTATGATTATGTTCTGATCACTTATTACTTTTAAAACTTATTTTTCCTTTATTCCTGGGATTTGGCAAGCTGTTGTCACCAAATATAATTTATAAAAATCAAAGACAGAAATAGGACTAGCATAGGTAATAATCAGTGGTTTTTGTCAGCTGATCAACAGTGAAATTTAGTATTCATAGTTAGGTTACTATTGTAGTAGAAAAACAAGGAAATTAGGAAGACTTTATTTTGTTTTTTAACACTATGTAGTTAACACTCAACCACTTGGCATTTTTCATCTTAATTTTTATTCAGTTCAACTGAATAAAAATTAAGATGAAAAATGCCAAGTGGTCGAGTGGTTGCACTACATAGTGTTAAAAAATGGAACAAATAATGACAATTTCAAAATTACTAAGACTTTATTTGTGATATTTATAGATTAGGTAAAGGTTTATGGTAAGGATTGTAAGGAATTGATACAGGATGTTCTTAGGAGGAAAGACATGAGTAGTAGTATATTAATTAATGATACATATAGAATGCTGGAACAAACATTAAGGTAAGGCAGTGTGGTACAAAAAAAAATTAAGGCAGGAATACAAATTTGTTGTAGATCAACTTTAAGTCTCTCCTTTTCATATTACCATTAAATGATACATTGTAGGAATTAATCAGAGAAGAATTGTGGTGTGTTGCTTGCAGATTATATAATTTCATAGATATATGTTATGAACAATTAAGCCAGAACTTCTATGTCAATCAAATCACTTAATGTGTGATTATGTTGATTAAGGGGATAGGAACTAGAAAAGATTAGGAATAAGGAGGAGTTTGAAAAATTTGTAAGGATAAGTTTGAGAATAGATAAGAGAAAGATTAATAAATTCAAATATTTAGGATTCTAAATATTTGCAACAAGCATTCTACTAGCATTAGAAGTAATGTGACAATTCAGATAAATGTACAGTGGTACCTCAGTATATGTCTGCTTTAGAATACATCCTGTTTGGACGAAACAAATTTTGCTCGGTATATGACTTAATTCAATTATACGCACCATCTATGAACAAGTTGCACTATCGGTGTACTACACCAGACTAGACATTCGCGGTGCCACAGTTTATAACTTTGTTAAATTTCTTCTGATTTTAATTTGTAAGTAAAATTTTATTATTTTTATTATTCATGAATTGCAAAAAGGCAAATGAAAAGCAACAGAAAACTAAAAAATGACTAGAATCAAATTAGAACTGAAAAAAGAGATTGTTGAGAAATATGAAGGTGGTATGTGTGTTTGAGATTTAACTGTTGCATACCGTATTCCGAGAACGACAATATTGACAATCGTGAAAAATAAAGACATTATTAAATCTGCAAAATGTTGCAAAAGGGGTTAAATAAATTTCTAAACAGAGATCGAATACATTAGATCATGTTGAGAAATTGCTTTTGCTTTGGATAACTGAAAAAACAGTATGCTGGCGACAGCGTATCAGAAGCAGATATTTGCGAGAAAGCTAAAACGATGCATGTTGATCTCGTGAAAAATCAAGCAGGAACGAGCCAGGAAAGCGAGGTGTTTAAAGCCAGCCATTTTTTTACATGAGAACGGATTAATCATTTTTACATTACTTCTTATGGGGAAGGTTGGTTTCGTATACGTCCTATTCGGTATAAGTCCAAACATCAGGAACGAATTAAGGTCGTATACCGAGGTTCCACTGTAAAATGAAAAAAGTGATGGCAGACTAATGAATTTCTTTGCAATTGAAAAGTTTTGATTAGAATAAAAGTTTTATAGGACAATAGTTTGGCCAGTTATCCTCAAAATTTTAATCTGTTTATCATAAAGGATATATAAATTAGAAAAACTGATAACAGAGTGCTTAGAATAATGAGTGTAATGTTGAAAGATTGTCAGAAATATTTTGACTAGAGATGCTACAGGTGAAAGGGTAAAGATGATAAACTATTGGGAATAGTGTTGGTTGGTGAAGTTAAATTATGAGAACAGAAGAAGTGGAAGTAACAGAGAGCATCAAGAACTTAAATTTAAGATTTGAGAATGATAAAGATAAACTGAAGAAATTTTGAAAACAAGTTGTGGGAAAGTTACATTAAAATTAGTAATAGAGGAAAGAGTTGTTAGTAATAGGATAGTCTAGACCAGAGGTGAACCTATGGCACACGTGCCCAAAGTGGCCCGTTGAAGAAATCATCTGGCATGCAACGAATTATATGATTTCGGTTTATTATCTTTTTCAATCAAGTTCTGTACATTTACTCTAATTACAGCATATTATTTTATTTATTTAAATATAGTTTTTTAAAACTTTTTTTGCCCTGTGCGTACTAAGAGGGCTTTTTTATTTTATTTAGCAAGTCCACAATGGGACAGCCAGGTGGTGAAGAATGGATACCCACCTGAAAATTTTCTGGGGGGTTTTGATTTCGGTTCCACAAGAGCGATAGCTACCACTTTGATTGCTTGGCCATTCGGCCAAATTTAAATATAGTTACTCGAAGTCTAAAACTAATGCGCACACAAACATTTTTAAAGAAAAGTATGCTTACTATGTGGCACGCAGACTCAAAAAGGTTCACCATCCCTGGTCTAGACTGATAAAGCTAACCCTGTCTAGACGGGACAAAGGTTATGAAAAATAGTTATGAAAAAATTTTCAGTGTTTATTACAACAAACAAACATTTCAATAGATTAAGTATGTTTGAAGATCTTGATGATGATGATTGACTTACTTTTTGACAAGTTCAAAATTTTTTAAAAATTTCTCTATCTTTCTCACATAGATGAAAGCTTTCATTAAAAAAAATTGTTGATTTATTATTACAGTTGCAAAAGAATAATTCATAATATTGATAAATACTTCAAAATATATTTCAGATGAAAATTTTGAATTGAAGCATGATCAGCCGTATTTACTGTCGATGGCCAACAGAGGAAAAGATACCAATGGATCACAGTTTTTCATGTGAGTAAACTTGGGGTGGGAAAATAAAAAATAGAAAAATATTTATAAAGAAAAAGACATTTAAGATAAGGTCATTAGTTTTAATTGGGAGAAGTAAATGTCAAGTAATAGGATGAGAAAAAGATATAGAATTTAAATATTAGAATAGCGATAGGCTTAAAGGGCTGAGTGTATAAATCTGTTGTAAACAGAGTCTTACAGTGCTACATGAATCCCCGTAAAGAGGGAAGTGATCTGACGTGCCCTGTTCTCGTTGCAGTACAACCCAGCCGGCACCTCATCTCGACGGGTAAGAGAACATTTCTTAATCACAATTGTATTGGCAAAATCAAACAAATTAAACACGCACGATGGTATTTTAGAGTCCACGTCGTCTTTGGACGTGTAATATCGGGACAAGAAGTAGTATCGGAAATAGAAAACCAGAAGACGGATCAGTCGAGTCGCCCCTACGTTGACGTCAAAATAGGGAACTGTGGAGAATTGGTTCTGAAACTCAAACCTAAAGGTATTTAAATATTACTATTATTTTGATTTCCTTTGTTTTTAATGTTTATGATTTAGTATACAGTGGATGCTGCTTATTGGGAAAACATTAGAACCAAATCAAAATGATTATAATAATTGATGTATTATTAATAAAGGATTCTATAAATGCTTAAAATAACAAAAATGTTTAATATATGTGGCAGAAGTGCCTTTTAATAGTAAGCATTAATTCTCAAAGAAAACAATTTTAAAAATAAACATAATTCTCAAATCTATTTTACAATAAGTCATAAGTAAATGAATACGAGCAGTAGAATTAAATTAATGATGGATGTCAGTAATCAGTCCAACCAATTAACTTTTAGAGCTTTAAATTGGTGATGAGTCAGATGTTGACATTTGTTGTCTTAATTTTGCTAACTGTTAGCCTTAGCATTGTTTGTTGTATTTATTTTTTTATTTTGTTTAGAAGTTTTATTAAATGCAAAAATTTTAAATAATTTATGGTATCAAAATTGTAGATAAAAAACGAAAAAAAGAAGAGTCGGGTTCGGCATCATCCAACAGTGACACTGACGATACGTCGGACGATAAATCAAAAAAGAAGAGAAAGAAGAAGAAAAAGCATAAGAAGCATTCCAAAAAGCATAAAAAAGAGAAGAAACATCAAGAGAAGAGGTAGATTTTATTTAAGTATTGAAACTTAGTTTTTAAATGTTGTAGATGACAGGCATTTTAAATGGGATAACTTAGGGATTAAATATAAATGAAAGTGATTATTAGTATAATGGCTATATGATCTATTCCTTTTACTACATATAAAACTGAGATTGCTTATTATCATTATGTTTATATATTAATGGGTTTCTTTTTGTATTATTTTCATGGTGGGATGTGTATTGTAAGTTGTGGTTGACTTTACCTAATTATTCAACATAAATTTGAACATATTTCCAGTTTTGATTTAGTTATTTCAATATAGTTATTATTCCAATTATAAAATAATAATGAAATATGTTGTATGAAATACTTCATTTTTTGTATATTGCAGAAAAAGATGAATGTGATATTTCAGTTTACTGGCTTTGTCTTTCAATAGAAATTTAAAAATTCTACACTGTTATAAATGTAAATGTATAATTTTCTTACAGATAAGGTACAATTTGTAATTAATATGCATATAGACATTCATATTAGTGTATAAACTGTCACAGAATTGCTAAAAAAACAATTATGCTTATATCTTGTAAACATACTTAAGATATAAGATGATACAGGGTGTTCAAAAAGTTGTGTAGTGAGAAATTTGTAATGACATTTAACCTATTTGATGTTGAAATTTTTATTTGTTGCCTGTGATGCCATGTTGAAGTTTTGCTGATGTTGAGCCTAAAAAAAATTTTTTTTAATAATAATTGTGTTTACTATATCATAAAAAAATTATTTTTTTATGTTTCACAAACAAAATAAGAGTCGGGTTGTTTGGGAGTGCAGCCCTAAGCAGGTGGTAAACTCCACTTAAGACTAAATACGGCCGTGAGACCGATAGCAAACAAGTACCGTGAGGGAAAGTTGAAAAGAACTTTGAAGAGAGAGTTCAAGAGTACAAAATAAGTTCATTTTAATATAAAAATTGTGACGCATAGCGACATCTAGTATCAAAAACATTCCGATGTAAATATGAAAATATTCAGGATCGCCATGCAGGTCAATGAGGTCAACATGAATATTTTCGGGAACAATGTAGGACAGGTTAAAGTTAGGCTATAGCATCAAATACCAGGCCTGTAAGTTGTATGTGCCTCATTTCCACTTTTCAGTAGGTGGCATCACTCCTTGCTTACAGACATTTTGGGTTTTGGGAGACTTCTTTGCTGATTGCATTATCTCTGGTGGAATTTGACTCACTAGGTCTCTGAGCCTTGCTTTCTCAGATTTTGGGGACTCTGGGAGACATTTTTATCATTTGACATAGGATAAACTGCAATATTGTATGTAAAACTTCACTTCAACTTTTTCCACTGCACAATAATTTTTTGATCACCTTGTATTATTTCCAATAGAAAAATGCTCATTCTAAATTTCTGTCTATGAAAATAAGGTTAGAAAGACAGCTAGATTTCATTTTACATAAGCTTACAAACTCTTTTTTTACACTTATTTATTTGGGTATTTTTATTTTAACAGTCCTCTTAAGTTTTAACTGTTGGCTAGTGTTAGTGTAATTAAGTTTAAAGAAGTGATTGTAAATGACTTGTGTTATTTATGTGAACATTTAAAAAGTATATTACATTGCTTGTTTCTGTTACATGCTTTGCTGAAGACAGGAAATTTTAATGCTATCAGTATTAAAGATGGGCATGAAATGATATCAATTATATATATATTTTTTCTTACTGTGTGTTTTTTCAATAAATAAATTATTTGGTTTTATTAGTGAAATGTAAGTATAACTGAATCTGTATAATTAATATGATAATTAGTGCTTATTTAATGTTATAAATTAACATTTCAAAGTGGGAATGTATTGAAAATACTTCCTGTTTAATGTCAATGTTAACTCCAAAATTCAATAAAATAAATGCAATTATCAAGAAAAAACTTTTTCCTTCTACAAATAACAAATAGTTTAATTCTTATAATACTTAACCAAAAACTGTTGGGTTGTTTGGAAAGTAAGTTCGTTTTTTTTACCACTAGACAGATTAGTGGTATTTTTTCTGCCATTTTCGTTCTAAACCGTATTATCATTATATATTTTGACAGCTAGCATTTTATGGCTTATTTGTAAAAAATTTTGTTTGATTTCGTGCAGTTGTTTTTTTGTGTCCCATCAAATATGGAAGATTGAAAGCAGCATCTTCGGCATATTTTGCTTTTTTATTACCAAAAAAATAAAAATGCCATTCAAGCAAGAAAAAAATCGTGTAACATGTATGGTGATGTGTTGACAGAACGACAGTGCCAAAACTGGTTTACAAAATTTCGTTCTCGCAATTTCAGTATTGAAGATGCGCCACGTTATGGATGGCCAATTGAAAACAAAATAAAAGTACCGATTGAAGCAAACTGCGGAATAACAACACGTGAAATCACTAAGAGATTAAATTTGTCAAATTGAACTGTTTATGAGTACTTGAAACAAATTGGTTTCGTTTCAAAGCTCAATATATGAATTCCACGAGTTCTTAAAGAGAAATGCTCTATTTGGTGGGATATTAAGGAAATTTTTTTTTTGGAGCTTTTACCAGAAAATTTAACAATTGATTTGAAAGTTACTGCATTGGAGTAAACAAATTGCATAATATCATCAAACAGAAAAAGCCAGCCATAATTGATAAAAAAAAAAAAACAGCTGTAGTGTTTTACCACAATAATGTCAAATTTCACACAAGTTTGGTAACTCGTCAGAAACTGTTATAACTTAGATGGGACGTGCTATCACACCAACCGTATTCGCCAGATCGAGCACACTCAGATTATTACTTGTTCCGATCTGTACAATTTTTTTTAACTGTAAGACATTTACTTGAAATGACAATGTCAAAAATCACTTGGATCGGTTTTTTGTAAGCAACGATCAAAACTTTTATGAATGTGAAATCGTGCTACTACCAGAAACAATGACAACAGGTATTTGACCAAAATGGTCAACATATAATTCAATAAAATATTTATTTATCATAAGAATATTGTGTTTTTTTCCACAGAAAAAAAAACAAACTTACTTTCCGAACAACCCAATAGTATTTATAAATAAGTATATGTGACAAGTGAATAATTTTAGATATTGAAATAAAATTTAGAATGTAATTTTTGATGATTTTTGAATATAATAGCATTAAGGAAAATGAGAAAAAAGATACAGTAGACACAGAATGCAGCATTTGTCCTGAAGAAATTCCAGAGGTACCTGCTAATAGTTTCCTTTTAAGAAGGTCTCCTCCGATAGGTGACGGTGATAGACGGTATGTATGCAAGTGTGTGCTTTCTTAAATGAAATTATAGTGGGATGTGATAGATAAAAATGAAAGTCACAAATTTTTTTTAATAGGAAGATTATAGTAGAAAAATACAAAATTATTTTCTTTAACAATAATATGTTCGTAATATATTAGAAACATTAATTGTGTCGAATAAGTTTACAAAGTTAATTTATGAAGCTGTGTTAAATTCAAGTGGTCTCCATTTTTTTTTTGTTGTAATGTGTTTCTAGAAATATACAGGGTGTTGCAAAAAGTGTTCTTGGAAATGGGTGATAGAATTTGTCAAGATAAGCAAAAAATGTATAGTAATACATTTGCAAATTTGTAATAGTTGCCAAAATATTCAAGGTTAAAGTTTTGTCAAATGGTGCTAGAATGGGCAGACATTGCAGACCTGCCAATTGTTGAACCTGTGACTGAAAAAGGAACAGATTGAAAAGCAATCACAAAAAGCTTTCCATTATGGTTTTTTTCACCCTCTAAACTGATCACTGTGATTCTAAAATAACCTGGAAATATCTTTTTACTGAAAGTTTTGTGCAAAATAAAGTGGGAACTACTGTATTTTTTCTTGTTTTAAAATGGCGTTCAATTTAATAAATGTTTATCTTTAACATTATAGTTTAAATAGCAATAACTATAGCATAGTTCTTGAAAAAAAATGTGGGTTCAAATTTGCAACTGTAACCACAAATATTTTGGTAACTATCACAAATTTTGTGAATATGTTACTCTATGTGTTTTGCTTATCTCAACAAGGCCTATCACTCATTTCCAGGAAGAATACTTTTTTGCAACACCCTGTGTATAAAATCAAAGAATAAAGGCATATTGTTTCTTTATAGATTTTTTTGAATGTAACTCAAGTTACATTCAAAGACATTTAAAAAGAAAAATTATAGTCTTTTATTAAGATAAATAAAGTTTGTTTTTTTACAGGGAATAAGTTACAATGCATAAAACATCATTTAAAATGTTAAAACTGTAGATTGTGTGAAATAGAAGACAAATAGCAAAAATTGTCACCTTGGAATAACTAGTAATACTTGTTTATCAGCCAAAAGTGTACAAATTTAGTGTGACATATAAAAGAGCAAGTGGTCTGAAGTCTCAGATCGTCTGTAATCGTCATTCATGTTTGTGTAATAAGCTGATGCCAACTTATCAGATTGATTTGTGCAGTACATTCAAATATTTATACACTAGCAGATATTGATTCTTAGGACCCTATAAAATGCTATTGTAAAGTATAGTCAATTTTTATTCTGATATTGTAGCTAAAGTTAAATATAAACAAAATAAAAAAACAGTACAAACAAAGGGACATGTATAAATGGAAAGAATATAATGTTACAAGATTTTGGATTTCAAGAAATTACAAGAATGAACTGTCCAAGTATTAATTCTTGGACAGTTCATTCAAATAGTAAATAATTCTTAAGGTTATTTTTAAATTTAAAAGTATCATAATACTTTAGATCATGGGAGGTGAATTTACAGCATGTACACCCAAAGTGGCATTCCAGAAGAATTGGTGCACAAAATATTATATTTTGTTTGTCTTTTGACTATTGATTCCTCTTTGTGTTCAGTAGATTACACCAATATAATAAGTCTTCTTACTATAAGGAAGTCCTAGTAGACAATAATAATTCAAAAATTCCTGGGATTCTTTGTCTGGATTTGATTCTGGTCTCCCGGAACGGTAGGCTGACATTTTTATCTTCTCGGCCATCCGGCCATCTTGTTTTGATGACGATAAGTGTTTTTAATGAATTATTTAAGAAAAGTAACTTAAAATTCATACTAAAATATATTCTCAATACATTATAGCATGCCAAACAATTATCAGATTAGATCAGGCTATATTACTGCTGCTATTAATAATTGAAATGCTAAGCAGTTTGGCCTAGAGGTAGGCATTAGGTGCCATCTCTTATTAAATTTAATAATTATAATTAATTTACCTGGACCGCTGTCCAATTTTTGCTTAATAATAGCAATAATATGGCCCAGTCTAATCCAGCAGTCATTTGGCTTTATAGACTATCAGGCTTAGAGTGCTTATATTCATTATAGCGTGCATTGTATTAAAAACAGAATGCTTCAAAATTGAAGTACTTAGTTTTTAGTAAATGAAGTTAGAGTCTAATCATATTCCACTATAAATCTAGTATTAATAATTGTTATTAATAACAATAAATTTTTTATTTTATGCAGAAGTAATTTTAGGTCTGATTCGTTTACTTACACGCGACGACCAACAATTTCAAGATCTGGAAGGAAGATTAAAGGGAGAGGATTTATGGTATAATTTATTCAATTTTAACAATATATTTTGTAAATGTAGATTTTATATTTTAAAGACTTCAAAAAGTAGAAGTAAAGATCAAAATAGTTTGTGTACTTTGAATACTTTTTGGATACAAATGACAAAAATGTAGTGATTTGAAGTTTAAGGCTAAAAGCACCTGTTTAAGCTCTCAATTTTTATGTGGTTAGTTTGCTATTTTGCATGTTTGTTTCCCCTTCTTTTATTCCTTGTGGAAACTGATGAATTTTTTCCTTATGTATTGTGGGTTTGGCCAGGCCCATGATGGTGGTGGCCTAATGTCGAGATGAGACTCGACATTTGAAAGAGATTGCCCATGAAAATTTTCTGTGGTCCTTCTTCATGTACACCGAAACCTTAACCATGTTGGTCATGTGGCCATTTTGATTATTTGGTTTATAAATAGTTTTTAAGTTTTTATGGTTTACTTTTTATCAAAATTAATGAATAAAATAAGAGATTTGGGACTTACAGAGAGAATATTAATTTGGATAAAATAAATATGTTATTTGTAATGGCCATATTGAGAGATCATGCTGTTTCCAAGATTTCCAATTGACTTTCACTAGCATCAAAACTTTATTTATTTGAAGTTTGTTATCTAATGTTCATCCAACTCTTGAAATTACTTACAAAGAACTGGACTTGTTGGTTGCCAAAATTACAGTTCTTTTCTGACTTGGATTCTGGTTGCAAAAGTGTTGATATTTTCCTCTGACATTTGAGACAGTTGCTAGAACTGATATTGATCAAATACCATATTAACTGATGGCGAGAAGTATGCACCCAAAGCTGCAGTTGTCTCATTATAGTTTGTCCTGGGGTTAACTAGTCCTCCCACTGTCAGGAAGTGCCTCTCCTTCTGAATTATACATTTGACTAGATGTGGTTAGGTTTAAGGCAGTTGGGCACCGTTCAAGACACCTCTTCCAACGATCAAGTGTGATGTGACTTATGGTCCTGGTGGATCAAAGACTGGTAACTTTGAAGGGTTTCCAAATCGAAGATGCATTAATATATTATTTGATTTTTACCTCTTTGCCAATTTTATAATCGAAAGGAGATTCAGATGACACAAAGACAAGTTCGTAATTAGAAACACTTTATTTTTGTTCTTTACAGTCACAGATGGGTAAATGACAAGATAGTGAAAAGGTTGTTTTCCTGTTCACTAGTGGAGTATTAATTGCTAACACTTATGTTCAGACACAACAGTTATTATTAACAAATGTTTTTATCTTAAAAAGTATTAAAATAAAGGTCAATTTTTTATTTTCTTTATTATATCTTTTGAGTCCTTTATTAATGCAGTGTCAATACTTAAAGTAACAAAAGTGTTTTTATAATCACAACATTCCATTATTTTGCTGTAGTTGTAGTACATTTGAATTTTCTTTTTAATGATAGACTTTTGTAAATGTGTACACAATTAACAAGCACAGAAATTTTTTGTTAGTAAATGATATGAAAGTCCATATATTTGCTCTTTTTTTATAAAGATAAAGATTAAAAATAGCAGAATTTTTAAATCTTTTGAGTCTAATTTATGAAAAAGGTTTGGATAAAAACTTGTAAATCATTGATAAGCTTTAAGTTTGTCTATATTTAAAATAATTTTCTATAATTTAGTAACGAAATATGATTTTTTTAAATGTATTAGAGATACAGAACTCCATCACCTTCCGGAACACGATCAGGTAGTGAAACCCCACCCCATTGGAGACAGGCGCAGTCCAGAGTTCGTCCTTTGAAAGATATAGTTCCCACTCATGGAATTCAAGATGAAGAATCTAGGTATGTAAAATATTATGCAATTTTATGTTAACCATCAAAGTAAAAACTACTTTCATATTATCGTAATTGTAAATACTGTTTAAGATAAGCAACTGACTTTTAATTGAAATTTAATTAAAGAATATTAAAAAAATGTAATTATTTTATGCTGATCATAACAATGTATAACATAGAAATATTTTCTAAACAAACTGCTGATTTACCGTATTTATTTGCATATAAAACAACCTCGCATATAGGACGAGGTGTGACTTTATTAATACAATTCTAATTTTATTTTGTTAATCACAAATAAAATATTATCAAATGCACACATTGTTTCAAAAATTACTGGCATTTTAAACTTTAAGGAAAAATCTTGTAAAATTGACAACAATTTTTGTTCTTGTGAAGCTGGACAATCTGGAATCTTTTTTGCCAATTCTTAACAGTCGAATCCACTCTCTGTTGATTACACTTATGAATTTCTTCGAATTCTGATTTTTGAATAATTATCTGTTTTCATGTGGGAATGGATTAAAACTTATATTGGGCTCCAGTGTGATTTTGGAATTTCAAATTAGAATTCAATTCAAAAGCTTTGCTTTTCCTATTGCTATTCAACTATACTCCTGACAATACACAAGAACGATTAAAAACAAAACTATTTTATCTGGGCTGTTTCAAACACCAGAGGGTGAGCATCCGGTAAAAATGCGAACACACGGTTCACAAATTATTGCAAAAACACAAAGAATCCTTCGCTCACACGTATAGGATGACCTAGGTTTTTGAAGCAATGAAAAATGAATAAAACCCTCATCTTATATGCAAGTAAATATGGTAATCGGTTTGTATATTATGAATGAGAGATTGCTCCATTTATGTATGAAAGATTAAAACATAGTTTCATCCCATCTGTGGCTCTTCAAATAAAAGTATGGTTATTGAACTATAATAGTACAGGGTGATTTCAGAAAGTTTACTTGGAAGGAGTAGGCTTGGTAATGCCAGTGAAGAGTTTCAAATGCTGTCTCCTAAATCTGTGGTATATAAGTGTTTGAAATGTGTTTTCTAGTAATGTGTAACAAAATTCGGGTGTTTTGTGAAACATGGCTGGCACGTGCTGCCAAGTCTGCTACTTGCAAGTAAAGTATTTGTTAGAACTAATTCTTTTTATTCTTTTATGCAATGTAGTTGTGCATCTATCAAATATTAATATTGCTCAAAATATTAAAGAAAGTATAGAAAAATTTTTTGCTGTGTTTTTAACCAAGAATGTTTCATATATGAGAAATCAAGCAATTGAAGAAATAATGCATGGACCATGTAAAACTTAACAATTTTGCAGATGTTGACTGCATAAATTACTAGCTTTATAACTTAAAAAATTGTGAGAATTTTTCAAATAAATGCATTTGTCATTATTCCTGAATAACAATGTTACAAAATGTACAGAAATTTTACAATTTAAACAGTTTTTCATTATCAAAATTAATTTTTATATTTTTATCATGGAGAGTTGTGTGTGACAATGCAATGCATAAAAAGTCATATTGTCACATGCAATGTAGCACTTGCATTTGAAATGAGGTGGACTCATTTTTATTGTGCAGTGATGATGAAATAACAGGGAATGTAAGGAATGGTATTTCTGTTAAAATAAATTTATTTTAAATTGCTAAGTTGTATTCGTTCAAAGCAACTGTTACAAGTGTAATGCTCGTGTTTTTCCAGCAATGGTTACCGTATAGAAATGGTTGCATAGCATCTCTCACATGCCAGCATTCTTTCCTTGAAAAGTTAGGAGAACAGATTTTTTTACAAAATTTTAAATATAAGGAACATTGAAAAATGTGAGTTAGGGCATTTTAGATACCATGCAACTCCCAAGGATTAAAAAATAAACTCAAGCCAGAGACAATTAGCAGAACAACTTAATATAAATAAAACTTGTGTGCGATATAATTTAAAAAAAATTTTGAGGGACTAATTCAACAAAAAAAAAAAAAATTGGAAAAGAAAAGACACACAAGACCAACTAGGCTAATCAAGATGATAAGAAACAGAGCATTGCAGCGGGAATAATCAAAATGGTGATGCATCTGATCAGTTACAGAAATGGGGGAAATACTTCTAAAAGAACTGTATGCAGACATCTTTATTCTACAAGATGTATATTCAGAAAAGCTAAAACAAAACTATATATTACCCTCATCACAAGGCAGGAAATGCCTGAAGTGGACAAGAAACCATAAACTGTGGAGTATAGATGACTGGAAATGGATATAACTTATTCTCAGGCAAAAGCAGAGTATGTATTTGATTTGGTTATAATATCAAGCAAAAACCAGATGAAAATTTAAAAAACAATGCCAAAAGTTTGCAGTTAAATTTCCTCGAGGAGTGATGATGTGAGCTGCTTGGAAAGTTTTGTAGCAGGCAGCACCTATGTTTGAATGAAACTATGAACATTGATAATTATGTTCGTGTTCTCGAGCATAAGTTATTACCAACTATTGAAGAATCCTTTGGAGATAATCATTGTATTCTTTAACAGGATAATGCAACCTGCCACAAATCAAAAAATCAGTTTAGTGATTAGAGGATTATAAAATTCCTGTATTCAAACGTCTTGTTATTGGTCCCGACAGGAGCATCATTGAGTCGTCACTGTGGAGAATTCTGAAAGAAAAAAGTGAAGAAGAAAGCAAAGACAGTGATTGAACTGAAGGAAGCCATTGTGCCAAGCTATGTATTAAACATAATAACCAATATTTGTTTAAATGAAGCATGTGTGTTTGAAAGCAATTCTTCTGAGAGTGAGGTGGTCTAATACCTATTATTGGTTGTATTAAGTTACAATGAAAATAAGTACTTATTAAAATGCTTTTATAAATTATTATAAATTAATAAAATCAATTTAATTTAATTTTTTTTTTTTAAGATGAAGGATTCCATACAAACCTTATGGTTCTTGGAGGATTTGGCTAAATCTTTTGATCAGGACCACTAGAAATACAAAATATCAAAAGTCTTCATAAGCACACAGTAAAAAATGTGGACAGTTTTTTAGTTATAAATGTCTAAGACTCAAAATCAGGGTAATTTGCAAGTGTTGTGATGCCCTAAATTTTTTTGTTTTGAAGTATGTAATATGTTTTCAAATGTTATTACTGTTTGATAAATTATCTGCATTTATTATGCAGTACATGTGAGTTTGATTTTCATGTCATTTAGATTCATATCTTTCTTATAGTTAGTGTGCATATCTGTGGTGCATGAGTATCATTCTTGCATGAAACTTGCTGTGCCAAGACTTGATAACAGTTGAAAAGCAACTCTGTTGGAACATACTAGTTTATATTTTGAAACAAAAAAGATTTAGGGTTTTACAACACATGTACGAATCATGCTCTTTTTGCATCTTAAATGATCAATAACTGAAAAATTGTCCATTTTTGACTTTTTTGTCTGTGAGGACTTTTGAGCAGGACCACTTTAACTACAAAATATCAAAGATTTGGCTGAATCCTACATGACCCATTTCCCATAAGGTTTGTGCAGAGTTGTTTATGACTTCTTTTGTTTTGCATTTATTTCAAGCTAGTTTTTTTTCTTTTCCAGATCTCCGACTCCAGTTGATCAAGAAGCAGAAGAAAATAATCAAGTTGAAACTTTAAAATCTTATGTTAGAGAAAAACAACATGGGTAATTAATTATTTTTATTATTTAATTTAAAGCCCATTAGCTTCTAGAATAGGAACATTGTCAAAGTTATCTAATTATTCATTGAATCAATTCATTTAGTCAACATTTCCATTCAAAAAGTAATGATTAATGTTACATAGTTCTTGTGTAAATAAGTGAACACTTAGTATTACTTTCAAAATTGTTATTTTTGATACTTAAATTAACATCATGTACACAAACTCATGCAAACACACACAACATACACACATGCACAAAATAAATGCTTCTGCATATAATAATATGTCATAATAATAGAAATATTAGTAACTTAGTTAATTAAATAGCTTAGAAAAATGTACTGAATAGAAATTGTTGCATATGCAAACTAGAAAAGCATTGTTAAATGTTATAAAAATTGATGGTAGATGTATTTATAATTTTTATACAGTTAACTGTCTATAAAAAATGTTATCACCTGAAGATTTACCATGTTAATAGAATTGTAACACAAAGAAAGATACAAAGTAATGAAATAAAATATATTGTGTGTAATCTACCATATAAAACATGCAAATGATTAGAAATAGAGGAAAACATTATATTTAGTAATATTCAATTATAGCTTCAAGCATGGCAACAAATCAGAGAGGACCTGAAGCTGTTTCTTGTATCTTGTACTATGCTGCATCTGTTCAGACTTAAATCTTGTTTGCAGTAAATGCTGGTGTGGCTTGACGAGCAAGTTTCCAAAGTGGTGGTTGCACAGCAGTTTTCGGCCATACAGACAACTGCAACTACAAGTTGCACGAGTGGATTGGTGGTCACATGCTTGAGACATAGCCATAATATAATAACCAATAAAATTCTAGTAAGGGTCAATAGTATAGGTTGTTACGATATAATAAACAATTTTCCATGTTTGCCAAAAGATCTTTCAATTGTTTCAATCCTTTCCATCCTTTCCATAGTGGAACTGTTCAGTGCTGGCAGTGGATTAGAATTATATGTTGAAGTTAAATCAATAGATTTCAAATTGGTCAGAATCAACATCAGTTGATCTCACTTTGAATGAAGACATCTAACATTAGCATAGAGAAAGTTTAAACTTTTAACATCATGGTTTTTAAAATTAAGATCTCTTCCATCATACAAGAATTCCAAGATATCTGCTGTAATGATTCTGATTACTGGAGCATTCATGTTTTAAGTAAATTATACCATTCCAAGTCCAAGTGGAAGAAGTTTTCTTTTGTTTTCTTTTTTTCAGGGCTGTGAGTCAGGAGCTTAGTCCATTGACTGGCACTTAGAATTTTAGAAAGTCTGACTCCAACTCTAACACCTCCTACATCTGAATAATAATTTAATATATTCTTTGATTATATTAACCCAGAATGGTATTTCATCACTAACAAGTGAATCATCAGGTATTCCTATCAAAACTAAACATTGACATGCAATGTGTTCCACCTGTGGTTATAATAAAGTATTCAAAAACACTAGATCTAATCCATGTCGTCTTAACCATTTTGTATGAATTTTTTGACAATAAAAATTTAGAATTAGCTAAAACAAAATGTAAATTTCTCAAAAGAAAATTAACAGTAAATGATATGCAAAGAAAGATCTTACATTACGGGAGGCTTCTATAATGCAAGATAGAAGATTAGTATGAAATACAGTACACAATAAAAAACAGAAGTTGAAGTTTCAAATTGCAGCCATTTATGGGCTGCAATTTGAAAAAAATTGTAGACCTATAAATTCCCACTGTCTGTGTCCCCTTAATCTTGAGAAAGGAGTGAGTTAGATGAAAATCAAGACTAGATGTGGAAAGATTAGGGGCAGGAGGCCCTGATTAACTATATACAAACTTCTGGTTTGTACCGGAAGTTACATTCTTTCAATTCAAAAATATTCCCCTAACAGGAGTTAGATGATAGATGACTCTATTGCTAACAGGAAAAGTATGATTTATAGGGGCAAGACATTACTAATTTCAGGTGGAGAACATATAAATAAATTAAAAATATGATTAAAAATTGCAGTTTGGCATTCTGGTGATGTCACAATAAAATAATTGATAGTTATCAACTCTGATTCCTCTAATAACAGATGTTCTTATGACTCCAACTTCACAACCCTGGTTTTTTCAATAGTCTAGACATATACAAGGTTCCTATGCACCTGGAAAGTTAGGGAAAGTCAAGGATTTTCATTAGTGTTTGGAAAAAGTCATGGAAAGTCAGGAAATTTGTTTCCTTGGTTGCCTTGTTGATTTTTTTTTGCTGACAGTTAGTATGGCTGACCAAGTATAGCTGTCTGCAGGCAGCAAGAAGTATTGTGGTACAGTGCAACTTATGAAAAGGCGGTGCAGAATATTTTCAGGATGCAAAATTTCACCCAAACATATACAAAATTTCCTCAAAATTATAGCACACAAAATATACAAACATATCAATTGTTGTTGTTAAATTTTAAAATACTTCGTTTTTAAAACAGCTGTATTAATTATGCAGTATTATAAGTTGGGGGGAAAATCTAATACTCTTAATAATCTAACATTGATAAAAAAAATTTTGAAATATTTTAACATTATCTCACAATTTACACTTTCAATTTGAGGGTAGGTGTTAATGAACTGATGAAAAAAAAACGATAAGAACCAAAAATAATAAATAACTTAATTCAAATGGTATTATTTATCACTTTTCATTTTAATAATTTTGATCACAACAAAACAATTTTTGATTTCTGAAACTTTTTTCCCAGTTTATTAATATTATATAAAGTTTGGAAAATTTATTAAGGGACAGATTTAATAAATTTATATTTTTGTACATGGATTATACAGAATTTTTTAATAAAAATTAATGGCACTTTTCTGTTTTTGAAAGTTGTGAAGTTTTACAGCTATGATGTTAATAAAAGGATAAATAATTTTTATTTAATAAAACAGTTTTATGTAGATAAGACATGCTGTAATTCTGTGTTTCTTATTTTATTCTTAATTTTACTAATTCATTTATTATAAAAAATATATAACTGCTAATTAGAAAAAATAACCAGATAAAGAATTTGAGAAGCAATAGTATATGTGCATAGTAAGTCAAGTGATATTTTATTTTGTTAATGTGCCATACCGTAAGGGACATGGGAGTCAGGGAGAGTCATGGAATTTAAAACAAAAATTTGAGTTAGGAACCTTGCATATAAAATATTTCTCTATAATACATCATGAAATTTGTTATTTAAATAAATATTATATTTTTCATTAATAATACCATAAATATCTGTTGTAAGATTAATTTTTTGACATTTCACTGTTTGCATTAATTAAAGAGTTTAGTTCATCTGCTATAACATTCAGTCATTCATTATTTATAGTGTGACTTGCTAAGTTTGGAGTTTCATTAGAATTTGATAAGAGTTTTCATATTGAATTTTAACTGATGCTTTTTATTAGCATTAGCATTTATAGGAATAGAAATCACAGTATGCCTTATTCTTACAGCTCTGCCTTGATTTTTTTCAATAATTTACTATAGCTTGTAAGAAATCCACACAGTCAAGATGGAGTTTCTTCTCATAAGAACAATAAGATAACTCATTTTCAGATATATTAACTCATGGTGACTGCACAAAATAGGCACTATCACTAAATGCCATCTTATGGCATGTTGAAAGAAATAAATGCAATTGAGAAAAAGCTTACTTATAGAAATAATAGAATTAATACAAAATATTGTCCAGTTGGAAGTGTTTCTTTTTTATTTTGATTATTTATTTATTTATTCCAGAGATAGTGAAGAAAAAAATGAAAGAACTAATGGAAGATACAACTGGAAGGACAATTTTAGAAGAAAGAGCAGGTACAGTTTTTATACAATACTTTTAAATTTATATTTTTTTGTTTAACTGTTATTTATTCTTACTAGTAATTGCTAAGTCTAGTCTTATCATAAGGCTCAGTAGAGGCAAGTGAGCGAGCAAATTAACGGCTTAACAAAGCAAACCTTACTATACTAGAATTAGAACACCTTGTTTATCTGAATTCACATTTTTAACAACTAAAGATAAATATGTCATCTGGACAAAATATAATTATCGTCATCATCTGCTAATTTTTTTTTACCTACGTATCCAATTTCATTCAGTTCTGTCCATTCATTCCCAAGATATTGATTTTTTTATTGATATTTTTCATTTCACTTAAAAGTTCTTTTCTTATTCGGTCATAAAAGTTATGTTTTGCAAAATGTCCGTGAGAGGTGCACTGATCATTATGTGCATCATTTTAATTTAGTTTTTTTTAAATAACAGAATTTTAAATTTATTTAAATTATATTAGTCTATATTAATGTAATCTTCAAACTGGATTAGAGATGGGAAAAATTCATTTCCAGTTCTGGAACCGAGATCCAAGTGAGAAATTGTTCCGACAGAATGGTTTGTCAGAACTGCTTAGTCTGTTGTACTAGAATGTTTCACAGTATCATTATGTTCTGTCACAATTGCTGTTGGATTCAACAGTTTCTCATTGGTTTTATAAATGTATATAAGAATATTTGTCTCTCTCTGTTCTCATCTTTTTGGTTGATCTTCACCAAATTTTTCTTGTTTATTATCTGGGACACTGAGAAAAATATAGAATACCATTAATTAAACCTGGACACCCCACTCCTTCCCCTTATTGACTTCTAAACATTTTGCCCATTCTGTACCAAATGTTTTTATACTCATTCTCTGAGACTCTGAGGAAAATATAGACTTCCATGAAATCTGAATGCTCCACTTTCTTTCCGATTTGATCTCCTTGACACTTTGTGACAAATATAACAATAGTAGGCTAAAATAATGAAACTTGTAATATAGTTGAAATTTTAATGTTTGTCCTTCTTACTTTTTGGCCAAGTAATGCCACACATATCTGTTAGTTTACTAATAAAAACAAATAATTATGAGCTCTAATTTTAAAAATTTATACTTTTATATCTTTATAAATTTAAAATACTCAAAACTAATTTCTTTATTCCTTAAAAGTCGTGGAACATTGTCAATTAGATTTGTGTTCAAATCAAGGTAAAGAGTCCACTGTTCCATAAAATTACAAAATGAAGAATGTTTTGGTAGTTCCAGAACTGTTTTAAATGCCTCAAACTTTGATGTGGAACTGTTTCTAGTAATTTAGAGTCTGAAGTGGTTCTGACGAACTATCTGCCTCTAACTCTGGATTGTTTGAAATTAGGAGGTACCACTGCATAATTATCCTTTATTGGATATGTATTTGAATTTTGAAAAAATTTGATGAGATTGATTTCATTATTCCAGTTTTATTAAATTATGGATCATCTATTTACTGACCTGTCAGTTAGTGATAAAACATTATGCATGAGGGGTTGTCCATAAATGGCATCCACACCAAAAGAGGAGAGCGGGTTGATACTCGCTGGACAAAGTCAGATGAGAGGAGGGGAGGGGTTGAGCTTTGGTGGACATCTGTTTATTTCATTAAATTGAATATAGTTTATGAATTTTATTATATTTATTTCAAAGTTTCTTGTATGTTTCGTTTCTACTTTGGTATATATCATTTGTAAGGTGATAAAGGGTTAAGGGGATCAAGTTTTGTTGGGAGAGCATTATGGGGAAACTTGAACAAACTGAGACGAGAGAGAGGGAAAGTAAAAATTTTGAGAAAAATGCAGATGTAATATATGGGCAGCCTTAATGGAAAACTAGAGGATTTGTACATGACTTATTTTGCCCATATTCTACAATATTGTACTTATTACAGTAGAACCTCCATTATCCGGATTTTCGATTATCCGGATTGTTCAAAATAAACAAAAATTTTACGAATTTGATGATTTGCAATTGACGAATTACGACACTGTTTATGTACGTGACGGAATGCATAACTTTTTTGTTTCAACAACGTCTCACCCATCACAGTGGTTGTAAACTCTTAAATATATTTTACGTAGTAATAAAAATATAACTTGACATACGTATTTATAAATAATTTATATTCAAATTACATCATTTCTATGACCAAGGGCGGCGTAAGGCATAGACGACGTGGGCCACCGCCTATGCCTCGCGGTCCGAAGGGCCTCGCGCCTCGAAGGTTTAT